GAAACCAGTAAGCCTGAAGAGGGGGTTCCAGAGTCCAGATCACCTGAGGGAGTAAACTCCTTGCTTTGAGGATATGGATGAGTTCTTAGAGACCACTTAGTAACTTCTTTCATCCCTGGGGCCTCCTTCATGCTTTCCAGCTTTTGCTTTCTGTCAGCCTTCTCATTGGCTGACCTGTCGAATCCCAGTACCCCCAGGTTGGAAGGACCAGAGAGCCCATCTGGTCAAATGCCCTCTGTGAGGCTGAAGGCCTTCTTTAACCTCCCTAGCAAGGGATATCCTAACTAGTCCTTGAACGCATCTCCAGGAGGATGCTGCCATTAACACCAGCATCCAGCTCTCCTCTGGGACTGTGCTTTCACTTTGAGGGAATTGACAACAACCTCATTATCTGCAGAGAAAAATAAAGCAAATGCAAGGCTCTCCTTACTTTGCTCTCATGGAAAAACGATTTTAATGCGCCGGAGTAAACTGCTTGTCCAGCACACTGAAGACATATTAGCATCTAACTATGGCAGAGAATATTGCTGATACTCAGCCAAGAAGCATCTAGCGTCAAGCCCGGCTGCCTCTGACCACAGGATTCTTCCTCAGTTGGCTCCTGCTCCAGTCCTCCACATCTCGGCAAATGAAACCTGCATCCTAGCATTGCTCAAGCCAGAAACCTAGGAGTTATTCTTGTTGCCTCCTTCTTCCTCACCCCCACAGACAATCTGTCACCAAATCCTGTTGATTATACCTCCAAAATATATCACAATTTCATCTACTTCTATCATCTACTCCTGTCCAAACAACTATCATTTCCCATCTGGACCCCTGATCTCCCCCACTTTCACAATACTCTCCCCAAACACACACACACACACACACACACACACACACACACCCCACAATCCATTAACCATCCAATACCCAAAGTGATCTTTTAGTAAAGTATGCTAGGTCATATCACTTTCCTGCTTAAAATCCATAAATGGCTTTCCATTGCCTTCATAATATCATTAAAAATCTCTGTGCTACTTCTATGGCCCCTATGATGGCCCCAGACACCTCTTGGTTTCATCTCACACCACTCCTCACTGCATTCATCATAGTTCAATGTCAACAGACAGCTTTTGTTCCTGTCTGTCTTGGGGTTCTCATCACCCACCAACCTGGAATATTTCCCCTGCCAGCCTATACATTTGCAGAGCACCTGAGTGGTTCAGTCAGTTTAATCATCTGCCTTTGGTTCATGTAATGATCTCAGTGTCCTGGGATCAAGTCCCGCTTTGTGCTCCCTCCTCAGCGGAAAGGCTGTTTCTCCCTCTCCCTTTGCCCCTCCTCCTGCTTTTGCTCTCTCATTTTGTCTCAGAGAAATACATAAACTCTTTCAAAAATTTTTAAAAAATAAATGCATTTGCAAATGCTTGGATACGTGAAAAATATGATTCCCCTATTTTCAAGATATTTAAGAACATACCAAGATGTTAAGTGACTTGCTCCATTTCATAAGAGATAAAGTCAGAAAGCTATGTCCTCTGAGTCAACACTTTGCTTCAGATTTTATCCAAAGAAGAGAGGAGGCAGGAGAAATATGGAGAAAGGGGAGCAAGAGCTAAGGGAAAAGAGAGAAAGGGAGAAGAAGGGGTATAAGCAGAGACCTTACCCACTGATGGGGGACATATTGCCTGAAGGGAAGAAAACAAAGGAGCTAGGGATTTCCTCACTTGGAGTCCTGGGGTGGTGCCCAGGAGATGTGAAAGGCACATCAAAAGCCAGCCTCAGCTCTCTGAATCCCAGAGCTGCTCTGAGTCACTTTCCTGCTGTCAGATTCTGGACACAGATACTCTCTCTGGGTGATGGATCCTTCTGTAAGTAAAGATCATTTAAGAAAACCAGACCCACTAGCTGTTTATGTTTGCTGGGAACAGAAACGAGTGTGCCTTTTCCCTTAAATTGTTCTTGTGCGATTTAAAACCTTCCTGCTTGCACAACCTGAAAGGGAATTATTAGACCCCAGATTATTCTTTTTAATCATTCTGCAGCTTTAAAGTTTGCCTGCCTTACTTATTTAGTGGGGAGGATGTGGGCAGGGCCACATGATGTAAAGCAAGGAACAAGACCACGATATTCATCTCAGGCTGCAACTGACAGCACAGAGCCATGATGGCCAGAAATCACAGAGACCTCCTCCCCCAGCCAGGAGCACAGGCTGGTCCCTCGTGGTCTTAGCCACACCTTGCAGGCCCGGCTAGTGCCCTTTGAAGGAGGGGCTGTTTTGAACGCAGACCTAAAGCAGATGCTAGGGTCAAAACCAGTCCGGTATGTATGGAGTGCACGGTAACCTTGACCAGCTGTAGCCAGAGGCAGCAAGATTTGTTAAGTACCTACAAACCGGGCGCCAGACCCTGGGTCCACTTCCTTTATCTTTATTTCATTTTATTTCAGATCATATCATCCTTCCAGCAGCCCTCGGAGGTAGGGATCGTTAACCACCACTACAGATGGTGAAATGGGGACCCAGTAACAAGTAACTTTCAGATGCTCCCTGCTAGTAAATGCAAATCTGCAATTCCCTCCTGTTCACTTTCTACCCCACTGTTCACTGTCTACTCCAGCAAACATCACCTCTGTCTTTCCGAGAATCTACCTAAAGTCTTCAGTGATCAGACAAAGGAGAAATACAGACAAAATCCCCATGGAGGGGAGCCTAGCGTGGGTGTGCGCCTGTCAGGACTCTCCCAGGAAGTACTTCAGTGACTCTGGGCTGCCTTCCTGAGGCCCCGCAGCCAGAATGGGAAGATGTAGACCACAGGAGAACGTGGGGAAGGCAGCCCCTGCTTTGGGACTAATGAGGTGTGACCACTGCACCCCAGGCACTGGAGCCATCCAAGGTCTCTGGAACCTTTTATGGCAAGTCCACTAAGCCTGCAAATCCTAGCGTCCATAGTATATTTTCAAAGGCTTAACCAGCTCAGTAAGAAGAATGCCCTGGAATCTTCACTAATTCAGTGAGGTCTGTTTCCAAGACATGGGGCTTAGAGTCCAAGAATCTTACTGAGTATCATCTGGGCTGCTTAATAGAGGAAAATCACAGCAAGTTCAAGGTGTCGGTGACTGTGATGGAAATGGGCTCTAGTGAGCATGAAATTAAATCAAATAAAAGCGTGGAAAACCTTGAAAAACCTCTTCCTGTCTTAAATGAAAACCACAGCAAATGTATATGAATAATTCCTTGATGTCCAATTTTTTTCTATCAATGTAAATCCTTTCAAAGGGTTCGAAGAGTTACGGACAGCATGTGGCCTTTCAAGCATACCCTCACATGTAAATAATTACCACAGTATCTGTACTGTCAAAATTATTTTTACAACTATGTTTAACTAAACAATTTTTTAAAAAGAGGTCCTTGGTTTTCTTATGAATGTGATAGAAAGTAATCCATGGCATGGAAACAAACATATATGAAACATACTGTGGAAAATCACACACAATAAGTTCTCCAGTCAGTATGGACAAAAAACAGCAATATGATATTTTTGTTGATACAGAACTGTAGTGGGTCTATTTCATGATACTTTGCAGGCTTCTGAGATGATGAAATTCTTATCCCATGAAATAGCTATGTCAGAACAGGTAAAGATACATCAAAATCTGTTCAGTTTAATTCAATAAACATTTGCAGAACACACATCTGCCATAGGTGTACCAGGGACTCTCTCAAGTATTAGAAAGAGTTAAAGCTGAACACGTCAAGTCACTATCCCCACACCTGCCCCCACCAGAGCTCCCAATGTCGGGGCGGGGGGGCAGGGGGGTTGAAATTGCAGGGAACAATTTCAAGTGATATATTTTCTCAAAACTCTGAAAACAGGATGCATCTTGCAATCAACAGAATGTCAACATGTAATTGGTAGCAATTTTTCTTTCTTTATGGCACATAAAATAATGGAAGAACTTACTATCCATGACAGTGAAGCTTAGATTCAGTGAAATATGGTAATTATTGCATAAGACAGAACATAGTGCTAAAACAAAGAGGTCTAAAACTTCCTTTCAAACCTAAATGTACCATCCCTCCCTGGAAGAGGGTAGCTCAAAAACTTAAGTCCTCAATGGCAAAGAAGGTAGGAATGATTCACAAAAGCACTTAAAAATTGTTTTGTTCATAATAATAAAATAATGAAAATGCACAGCTATTTTATATAATTTTAATTAGTAGTGATGGATATTATACAGTTCATTTCTGTTTGCTTCCTTGACATTTTTCAGGATCTCCTCTTTTCTGGTCACAGTAAAATCTGTTTTACATACCTGTTGATAATATGCATACTAAGAGCAGTTTTGTTTTCCAGAATTTGGTGTTTCACCCAAATATTCAGTTTCGTCCTGAGTGCATGGCTCACAGTTACTACTCAGTCCATTGATTTCCCAGAAATGAAGAACGATGTGAATGCTTATTTTCTTTATTAGCACTTTATTTTAAGTAAGCTCCATGCCCAATGTAGGGCTCGAACTCATGATCGGGAGATCAAGACTCGCATGCTTTACCGGCTGAGCCAACCAGGTGTCCCTAGAACAGTGTGAATGCTATAATGAGAAACAAACAACAAACAAAACTTCAGGGGAATATTTTTTTCAATATTTTCAGCTTAGTGTATCTGACGGGTATTTCTCAATGAACAAATCATCCCACTAGTTTTCTCCTCCTCCCATCGTCCATGTATCCTATGCTTCAGTCAAAGCAGGTCACTGCAAATCCCTAGACCTGCCTTGTGTTGTCCTCGCCTCATTTTCTTTGCTCATGCCTTTTTTTTTCCCCCTCCCCCTGGAATGCAAGCACTTTCCCTCTCCCTACACTTGGAAAGCTCTCGCTTAACTTTCAAAATCCAAGTCTGACCTCACTGTTTTCTCTTAGGCTTCCCCAGGAAAGAAGGATCTGAGACCAGGGCTTCAGACACTAATTTATTTGGGAAGTAGTCCCAGGGATTATGAAGGAGGACTAGAAAGAGCATGCCAGTAAAGAAGGGACAGTCAATTCAAGAGTAAGTTATTGCTTTGTGAACAAAGGGGCTCCATCCTACAGGGATTTGCTCCCCATCGGTCATCCACTGTCTCATGGGGTATTAACACCCCTGCTTTTCCGGATTGTGCATGTGTGCACTTTCTGCTGCAGAAAGTAGATGTATGGTGCCATCAGGTTACACCTGTGTGAAGCTGGTTGCCATGGAAATCACTGGAGTAAAAAGTGACCTAGAGAGGATGAGAGGCAGAGCATAAGAAGGCACAGAATTAGCCTTGCCCCATCAGACCTCCATGGTCTGGGCACAGACCTCTGCTTCATGGCCTTTGTTCTGTTTCTTTGTAATGATCCATTTATATATTGAGTATGAATTTTTTATCGGCGGTGACCAGATCTTGCTCACATCAGAGGCTACTGAACCCAGCAGCGACAACAGCAAGCAGCATATGGACTTGGGGCCCCTCAATGTGGTAAAAACACCCATTTTAAATGAATGGGAAATGTTACGGCAGTCAGTTTATTATTTCTCAGGTAGTCGATATGACTGTTCAAATGAGAACTTGGGATGCGGTGTGAAAAAAGGAGAAATAAGTCAGGTGACTCAACACAAAAACCAGTGTAGACAAAGAGGGACTCATCCATGATCCTGGGAAAGAGGAATTATTTTAATAAAAGTATCAGTTCTATTTTGTAGGATTTTTTTTTCCCTCAGGAAACCTGACAAAAGAAACATCAAATAGTTCATGTTATCAACCACTTGGCATATAATCTTAAATAAATTTCAGTGAACTTGTATTGCTAATATCTAGGTTTAATCTCAGTGGACCCCGACAATGACTCCCTGATTCACTCAGAATGTCCTTAGAATGACACAGACAGACACAGACCTGTGGTCCGGTGTCTGGCTGTCCTCCTCCCCTCCTGCTCTCCCTTTGCTCACTTTCCTCCACCATCCTGGCCCCCACCAGGCACACTCCCACTCAGGGCCTTTGCAGTGGCTGTTCCTTCCACCTAAACACTTTCTCCTGACATCAGCTTGGCAAGACTCTGCTCAAATGCCACCTTCCCAATAAGGCCTAGGCTGAACCCCTTTAAAAAATTTTTTTTTATTTAATTATTTTTTAAATTTCTTTTCAGTGCTCCAGAATTCATTGTTTATGCACCACACCCAGTGCTCCATGCAATATGTGCCCTCCATAATCCCCACCACCAGGCTCACCCAACCTCCCGCCCCCCGCCCCTGAACCCCTCTTTTAAAACCTGTACCCCTTCACCACTCTGAACTCTCAGGATCCATATCCTGCTCTATTTTTTTTCCCCATTATCTATAGTACTCAATCACCTCTAACAAATATAATTAATTTATAATAATTTATTAATATGCAATAGTAATATATTACTGTGATATATTAATATAATGATTAATATACAATAATTCATTAATATTAATTAATTAATTAATATTATTATGTCTAGCGTTTATTTTCTCTCCCCCTTTGCTAGGACGTGACTTCTATCAGGGTAGGAAACTGTCTTTTTTATCAGTATGTCCCAAGCATGAGAATAGTGCTTGGCACATAGTAGGTATTCAGTAAACACTTACTGAATTGAATGAAAGCTCTTGAAGTTTTGAGATAACAATGTGCTTTCTAACATAGAAGGCATATTGTTCATTCAAATACTGGTAGGGCCCCTACTGTGTGCTGCGTGTGGATAACACGGACATGATCCCTGTCCTCAAGGAGGTCCCAGGCTAGTGTGGAGGCAGCTACCTACCAGAGTGCTGGGCCACTGACACAAGCATGCACTGTGGCTCTGGGGTCGCAGAGAAGTGAGTTTGTGTAAATGGGCAGGAAGATAAGCAAAAGCACAATGCTGAAGCTGACTTTACAAGTAGAAAGGGAGCTACCTAGACAACAAAGGGAAGGACCTCTAGGAAGGACTGGATTTTGTGCTCACATACTCGACCATGTGGGAGCTCTAGAACTGAGTCAGCACAGGTTTACATTTCATTTTACGCAGCCCTTCAGCATCAGCACAGACTGAATTTCCCCCTCAAGTTGGAGATTTGCCTTATGCCTCCCCTCAATCCCCTCCAAAGTACAGGCAGCATACACAATAAAGAGGCAGGCAAGAAAACTACACACGTCTCTCATTCACTCATGAGAAGGGACTTTGGGACTCCGTTTAGGTTTATAATTGTTCCTTTGTCTACTGCATTCTGTATTTTTTGTCAGGATCATAATACAATTGTTATATACATACTGTCATATACATATATATGTACATATATATGTATATATACATATATACAAATATACATATATATGTAAATATATATATTTATTTGGCTCTCATTTAAAATAGCCATTGATTATGTGTTTACAAAATAATTTTTCTATATTCAATTAAAAAAAAACTCTGGCTTTATTTTTTTCTAGTTGATTCACTCATTCATTAGATGGATAGTTATTAAATGATTATAATGTACCAGGCATTGTAGCTAGAGGCTGTGGATACAAAGAGGAACAGAAACATGCTCCCCACCCTGAAGAAGACTTTAGTAGCACCATAGGCAGACGGTGAGAAAATAAGAACATGGAAATGTTACATGTGGTAGGAGAGAAGGATTTAGGGCAAGAGTCACAAACTGCAGGTCAGATGTAGCCCACGTAAGTGTTTGTTTGGTTCCATAGCGTTTTTCAAAACTTTGAATGGTTTTTCACAAATTAATCTTGATTTCTGGCTTGTCTTCAAAGAAAAGAATCAAAAGACCTGAGAACTCTGAACCTGAGTTCCAAAACGGCAACAGTGGACCAAAGCTGAGTCAGAACCAGCCCTTTCAGAGGGAAGGAGATGGGGAAAGGAAGGCAGAGTGCCCCTGCACGTGGAGGGTCCTGGAAGACAGGTGGGGAGTGTCACACTTTCCAGGCAGAGGGAATATTTTGTTTACAGACCATACTTAACTAAGCAGCCAACCACATCCAAACCCATGCAGACTTCGACAATTCCATCCCTGCTTTCCCTGTGACAGTGTTCAGAAATGTCTGTGAAATGAACAAGAACACCATCAAAGAATTTTACTTCTGGAGGAGATTATTTCATAGGTCATTTTCCAAATGAAGAAGTGGCCATCTAGAGGGATTGAGTAACTTGCCTGGTACAATGCTAACAGAAGCCGGTAACTGTTAACAGACGGTACCAAAGGCCTGAGGGAACAGAGGGGAATGGTAATATAGAACAGTATAGCTGGCATCTGTTGTTTTCCTTACCCACCATCCATTCTTCCTCCCTCTGGAAACGGTACCCTTATTTTGCTCCGGGGGGCCACCACGCCTCTTTATTGAATGTGGTACAGGTGGAACTGAGTCCATCTGGCTTCTGAGATGGCCTGAGACCCAAGCCCGCCCACCAACACCCATCCTCCTGGAGCTTTTGAGAAAGAGGCATAATTCTTCCACTGGGGATTGCTGAGAAGAAACAATGCAATTCTGAATGATGCTATTAGAAACTAACCTAAGACAGCATGCTGTAAGGAAAACAACGATAAGCTACAGTTCCCTGGGTAAATCACTTAACTGTTCTGAACCTCAGTTACCACATCTGTAAGTGAAAATAACAATTCCTTACCTCAGAGGGCTATAAAGAAATAATGTCTGTAAAATGCCTGGCACATAGTAGGAGCTCATTAATGTTGGCATCTTTTCGTTCCCTTCCGCATAATGTCAGATGGATGTAGCATTACTGTAATTAAAATGTAAGAAGTACATTGGCAGATGCTCCTTACAACATACTGAGAACAGCTTTTTCAGTAGCTACCTTATGTGATTTCAGGGAACTGGGGAGGGAAAATGAAATAAAATGCAGCTTGTTTTCCTGGAACAATTCAAGCCATTTCCAATGCTTGCCAAGTGTAGCCCTTAAGTCTATGTCTGCATTCATCTATTATCTCACCTCTGCATAGATAAAGTAGTTTTCCTCCCTGCTCACTGGCCATTTTCTATTTAAAATGGGAACTCTTGAATTCCTGGCAATCATTTAGCTGACAGTTTGGATCATAATGTAACAATAACATTAGTGAGCAGTTGTGTGACAGTTCCTGCTTTTAAAGCACTTTACAAATCTGAGCTAATTAGCATGATTGCTAACATGCCAGCTTTTTATGAATTAATATTGCAATTATACTTTGCTTTTTCAATAAAAATGCAGTGATCCTTTTTCAGAAATAGGGAGAAATGAAATGAATAGACTGTGTCTCCAGTGTCTTTGAACGCAATGCAGTTAAAATATGAGCCAGACACTTTCTTGACTGAATGTTCCTCTAACTATATTTGTGAGGATTTACAGGTATGGTACCTCTTGACAATTCTATTTTAGGATCAATGAAGAAAATAAAGGTGTAATAGCGGACTGAAAAGGATTCTATACACCCAAGATAAGTTTCTAACCTTCAAAATACACTGTCTACTCATTTCTAGATTTAAGCGCCTCAAAGAAATCAGAAAATTACCTGATTATGATTTACTCTTAAACCAATTCATGTAGTATTGCGAAAGACCCTATTGCTTTTGTTGTGAATTAAAATATAGAGTATGTATGTGTGTATATATACGTATATATATACATATTAAAACTAAGTTTAAATTAATTATTTAGTTAAAATAGAGTATGTATAATATGTACGTACATACATATATATAAATAGAAATATATAAAATATATATAAATAAAAATATAAAAATAGATATATAAATGTTAAACATATTAAAATATATAAATAAAAATATACATATATACATACCCTATATTTTAATATATGTGTATGTACGTACGTATATATACATACATACTCTATATTTTAATTCACAACATATTTTATGTTATATTATTATATTATATACATTTTATATATATATATATATATATATATATATGTATATATATGAAAGGCTTGGGTTGGAATTTCACCTCTAGGACTCAGGAATCTAACTGTAACTTTCTGAACTTTGGTTTCCTCACCTCTAAAACGGGGGATGGGGTGGGGTGATAATAATTAATTTGCATGATTTGCATGATTCTTGGGAGGTCCAAGAGTGATTCCACCCTATGCAATATGTGGGATACAACAGGTGATCACATCAGCCTTGACCCATCCTCTCTGTTTGTAATTCATCTTCTGCCCTTACTGCTCTAAAATTATTCTGACATTCATTCAGTTTCAGTTTATGGAAAGCAGAGCATCATAATGAGTTAAAATTTTTGTTAGGTATTATAAATAACGAAATTTAAAGGGACTAATTATGATGGAAAATAGGAATAATTATGAAAGTTCATTTTGATGGGAAAAAATCTAAACATATGATCACTTGAAAACTCCTTTGAACATACTATGAAACTGTAGAGATATCTCAGTTAAATTTAGTCATTTTGTCCTCTGTTCTTTGCACAAATTTAGCAAAAAGTGATATGAGGAGGTATAACAGTGGAAAGGTGCCTGAAACAGTTAGAAAGCTGTATAAGCATACTTAAATTGTTTCATTCATTCATCAGTTAAATATATCCTGAGCTCCTAAGACATGTCAGGCACCATTTTGAATGTTGCTGGTATAAGGACTAGTACAAGGACTAGCAGACAGAGCTTTTGTCCTTAAAGAATTCACAGTCTCATGGTGGAGGCAGACAAGTGAATGAACAGTTGCAACAATGTGAGCAATAAATGCTAGTACAGGCTACTCAAGGCCAATATCTAATTTCTTGAGAAGTCATAAATTCTTTGAGAGAAATGGTGTTTATCCTGCCAATATGATTTGTAGAGGGTGAGCCCTCAGTATAGGGTCAAAAGACCCGGATTCTGGTCCAAGCTCTGTCTTTGACTAGCTATACATCCTTTGATAGTCATTTCAGTTTTCTGAGCCTCAATTTCCTCATCTGTAAAGTGTGACTGATGACACCAGTCCTCACTGGGTTATTAAAGCTCAATGGTCATGAGAGTGAATCTTTAATTAATTGTAAAGATCTCAATAAAGTAAGTTACATTCTTAAATGTTTTTTTCAATTTTAAAATAGAAGTTGTTTAGTACTTCACATAATCGCTGAGTGACCCTTTTCCGAAAGAAAGACAGAAAGAAAAGAAAGAGAAAGAAAAAGATAGAAAACCAGGCACCTGCCACAGTTCAAAGCAGGCCTGGCTTTGATCTTTTCAGCACTCCAGGTAGATATCCCCATTTTATCAATAAGAGAAGTGAAGAGCCAAGAACTTGTCCAAGAGCACTATTTCTTCAAAGCCCAAGGCTGGGCAACTTCCCACAGTCTTTTACAAACCAACAGAAGTCCAAAGGACCAAACCTCCGGAAACCTGCAGATCTTTTCTCTGAAGGGCCCCCTTCCCGCTTGCGTAAGGGGCTGGACAAGGCTTCAGCTCCGCCCCGTGACTCATGAGACTCCGCCCCCAAGTCTTCCACCTCTCGCGGGATCTCTCGGGAGGACGGATGGGGTTAGGTCCCATCATGGCGGCTGAAGAGGCGGATGTGGATATCGAAGGGGACGTGGTGCCAGCTGCGGCACAGCCAGGGTGAGGCGTAGAGACCGGGTCTCGCAGGGATGGGGGGGAGCACGGGTGCAAGGAGAGTACCCTGGCCAGGCTGCGGGTTCAGCAAGGAACAGGGGAGAGGAGGACCATCCGCTGGGCCAGGGTCTCCCGGCGGCCGGGGAGGTGCCGCGCCCAACCGGCTTGTTAGCTTCTCTCGAGCCCAGCGGGCGTAGGTACCCGAGGCTCGTGTCGGATGGTTGCTTCACCTTTTACCGGGATATCCCGAGGGCGCCGACTTCGCCTAGCACATTGCAGTCTATCCAACAATTAGATTCCTTCTTCCATGATGTCCACCCCAGAATCCGCCCCTTTGCTCCCTCCGGACAGTAACTAGAACAAGCTCGGCCTCTGAACCGGACCTGAGCTCAGGGATCCTTGTTCATCGCTTGTAAGCGGTGTGACCTTGGGCGTGTCGTTTCATCCCTACTGACAGGTTTCCTATTCCACATGGGGTTAGTTGTGAAAAACTTCCTGTATGCAGCTTGACTTAAAGGAAAGGGGCAGGACTTTAGAGTTGGACAGCTCTGGGTTCTCCAGCACTGGCCGGCCTTGTCACTTCCTAGCACTGTGACCTTCGATCAGACGTGTAACTTGCCTGAGCTTCAGACAGCTCATGTGAGACTGTCATGGTATGTGCCTCATATGGTTATTGTGAACATCAGTTAAAGTAATTATGGAATGTACTATAGCATACAGTAGGAGCTAGGTAAATGTTCTTCACCATCTCTTTACCGTCATGGAGATTATTGTGAAGACCTAGTGAAGGTCACAGTTTACTTAATACAGATTTCTGCAGAACAGGCCAGTGTGATTTCAAGAAGCATCATCTAGCGTGAGAGATCTAGCCCTTTGCTTGCTTTCCAAGTAAGAAATTGATAGATACTATTTTTAAAATGTGCTTCCCCAATCACCTTTTAGAATTGGAAGAGGCCTAGACTGGTCAGGAATCAAAATACCTCAGATCTAAACTCAGCCAGTTATGTTGCTTATAAATATGAACAACCTCCTTATAAGTCTGTTAGGTTGAATGAACCATGTGGAATGGCCAATCTTAGACCATTTTTAACATAAAAAATGGTAATTTCATACAGTCCAACCTAATATTAGGGACTCTGTAAATTATGGAGCGCAGTACCCACCCTGCCCTGAGGGATTAAGATAGTGGATTTAAAATTCTGCTGAACTCTAAAACACTATAAAAATGTGAGGAGTAATTAAATTCGTATAGTCATTCTCTCCCGGATCTGTAGGAAAAGCAGTCCAGCGCTATTCAGATTAGTAGGAAACTTTTATTAATAGTCATTGTTCACATTTGTGTAGATCAGGTTATAAAGTTATCTTGATTAAGTGCTCTTGCATGCATGATTTAATTTACTTTTCACAGTAAATCTATGTGATAAGTGGGCAGGGATGGTTAACTGCAGTCCAGAGAGAAGTGAGTTAGCCTTGGAAACACAGAAGATCATCTCAGAGCATTGGCTCTACCCTTTTTCCATAGGTTCTTCTTTTTCTGATCATGTTTAATTTTTTTTGCCTTCTCTTTTTCTTTCCTTTCTCTTGCTATTGTGCTCAGCCTTAGGTCTACTGGTGACACTTATGATCATCTTAGACTCATGCAAGCTGGATTACAAAGGTTATTGGTTCCTGATGGTCAGAGCCTTTGTCTTATCCAACTCCAAGGAACATCATTAACATTATATTCTGGTGAATGGTGCCCCCCGAAGTGTGTAGGTACAGCTAGTGATAACATCTGTGGAACCCCTGAGGATTAATTGAAAACACACTTTTAAGTACTTGCTAAGTTCTAGGTACCAAAGTTAGAAGGTAGCATTGAAACTTTGGTTTCCCTTTCACTTCTACCTTTCCCCCTCATCTTCCTTTTCTCCTACTTGTGCTTTAAATCAGTGTTTTAAGGGGTTTTGTCATAAGACAAAACAAACCACATAGTCCCTGGTTACACGATCTCTCAAGCCTTAAATTTCTGTTAGGTTGGATCATACAAAATTTGCCAATGTTCAACCGTTTTGACCATAAGAAAAATGGAATTTCCTAAAATTGCGCTTAATACATGCTGATGTTTTCCATATCCGTCACCAACCCAGATCTTTCTCTCGAGCTTTAGATCCATTTATCTAATTCTCTGAATCTCTGTTCTTGGATGTTCCACAAGCACCTCAGTCGCAGCTTATAAACTTTTCCCACCACACCTGCCATCTGCCTCCAAGTTCGCTAGTTCAAAAAATGGCACCATCCGCCCAGTAACTCAAGGCACAGATGGAGACTTTATCCTTTTTCCTTACCTCTCTCCTTCCAACCCTTCTATCCTATTAGTTGTTAAAGGTCTATTGATTCTAAGTATCCTCTCAAATGTATTCACTTCTTCATGTTCACACTGCTTGTTCCTTGGGTCTGAGTTACTGTCACTGCTCTAGTATTTATATAATCACTTCCTCTTAACTACTCCCTATCTCTTTGGCCCCCTTCTATTTACTGAAGTTAGACCAGTCTTTCTTACAGATCTCATGTTACTCCCTTCAATCCCTAACTTGCTTGATGAGAAAATCCTCATTCCTTAACTCCCACAGACCTGGATGATCCATGCTCCACCTAACTTTGTTCCTTTAATCATTCAGCAGATATTGATTGAGCACCTCTTCTCTGCCAAGGCCTGGGTGTATAGCAGTTATCAAACTAACTCCTTGCTCTCATAGAACTAACATTCTAATTGGGTAAGAAACAGTAAAACTTACAGATGGGCCAAATGGGGATAAGTGGAAAAAGATAAAGAAGGGAAAGTGAACGGCATGTTAGCTTTATCTTATACACTTACCCAGGAAAACTGGCCCTGAAACTACAGGACTTCAGAGTCAGCATGGATATAGTGGAAGGACTGGATTTGAAAAGGTAGGAGCCCACAGATTGGGCAACCAGTTGAATATACTGTGAGGAAAATAAGGGCAGGCTCAGATTTCTGACTTGGGAAACTAGGGGGTTGCATATCCTTTGTCTGAGATAGGGAACAATGGAAGAGAAACGGATTTGAGAGGAGTTTCTCAGCTAAGGTTTAAGCATGTTAATTTAAGCTACCTATGGAGACTCAGGTGTCCAGAGGCATACACCAGAAGTGTGGAAGTTGCTAATCCTTATTGAGGAACACTGTAAAAAGACATTAATCCTAAAGAGGCACCCAGGTGGCTCAGTCAGTTAAGTGTCTGCCTTCTGCTTAGGTCTTGGGAGTTCTGGAATCAAGACCCATGTCAAGCTCTCTGCTCAGTGGGGAGTCTGCTTCTTCCTCTCCCTCTGTGCTCCCTTCTGTCTCTCTCTCTCTCGCAAGTACATAAATAAAATCTTAAACAAACAAAAACCCACCGGAAGTGATACTAGTCCCCCTCCTGCACCTTGGCAGACCTCCATAAGCAAAGGTTTCCTTCTGCTGATACAAGTCTCAGAATCCTTTATTTAGCATGCTTGTCAGCCTCTACCAAATCAGAGTTAAGACCTGAATTGAAACCTTTTTGCCATCAACAGCTTAGAGAAATTAATGCTTTTAGTTTATTGTAGCTAGTCTATTAGTCCCACAATTTATAATAACCACTGTAGAACTAACTGAAGATTCAAAAGTCTAAACCTTTTTACAGTCTAAGAGGTACAAAATTCTTACCACTAGACTAGGTCTGGGAAAAGTCAGTAGTTTTCTAGGAAACTTGTAACTTCAAGACATAAAAAAAGCAAATATTGAACTTAATTATATCATAGATTGGGCTTTCCAAAACTTAACTATTCAGGTTTTTTGTGTAAGTAGTGAACAGGTGTGACTTTAAAGAGTTTTTATTAGTTCAGGGAAAGGAGTGAGAATTAACAAAGCTTTAATCCCTCCTGAACATAGAAAAGGCCCCAAATAACCCAAGTTAATTTTTTATTATATAAATTGTTATAAAAACATCAAATTTTCTTGAGGCGCCTGGGTGGCTCAGTGGGTTAAAGCCTCTGCCTTCGGCTCGGGTCATGATCCCAGGGTCCTGGGATTGAGCCCCACATTGGGCTCTCTGTTCAGCAGGGAGCCTGCTTCCTCCTCTCTCTCTCTCTCTCTCTCTCTGCCTGCCTCTCTGCCTACTTGTGATCTCTGTCTGTCAAATAAATAAATAAAATCTTAAAAAAAATTAAGTTTTCTTTGTACTATACTGTCTTGAGTATTTCCTATTTTGGCTCTTCGATCTTTTTTTTTCTTCCCATTTTGAGGGCAGTGCTGTTATTGGTGACTTTTATGCTTTAGATATAACTATGAGAATTGATTGTAAAGTGGAATTCTTATATACATGTGGATGTCATCAAAGACCTCTGAAGTGTTGGTTCATGGTCATAGAGTATATTGTGGTTGCTGTTTTCGGGTATTTTTTTTTCCTCATGAAGTTGTTTATTCTTGGGAAACAAAAGAAGTGAACAGACTCTGGTTGCGGTGGTGAAGTGGTTGCTTAAAGCCACTCTGTATTCCAAAGGTTAAAGAAATCGAGTAGGCATTTTTGCAATGTTAAGTCTGTTTGTTAAGGGAAGAAGGGAATAAAATATTTGCTTAACATCTATGCCCTGCCAGTTCCTGTGTTATGTGAGTAGTATTTATTAATTGGTATAATGTCACCTTTTTACCCATTTTCTTAATTATTACAGAAGTGATGAAAGTACAGCATCTGTTTTACAAGATCACTATCTTGATTCATCATGGAGAACTGAGAATGGTCTTATTGTAAGTATTTCATGAAAATATGAGGTGCATAAGCTATTACTCATTGCCTGGAGTACCTCTTTTTTACTTGGTGCTAGTTCTCCGCAGTTACAGAGGTAGTATACTGGAAACATTTTTCTTACTTTAAAAATGAAAGAACCTTATTCTTACTTCTTTTGACTTTGAAATGGTGTGTTGGGAAACTACTTTGGAGCCAGCTAGATTTAGGTATAAATCCTTGCTCTACAACTTACCAGATTTGTGAACCTTTGCTTCTTCGTTAAAAGATGGGGATCATTGCAGGGTTCATTTCTTTCATGTAGCAGTTATCTGTTGAATTCTTACTGTGTGTCAGACACTAGGCCAGATTTGGGGGATACAGCTATAATCAAGACAGACATAGTCTTGCTCTCAAGTTGCGTGTATGCTAAAAGGGAGTCAGGTGATAAACAAGTACACAAATTAAGTAGAAACCATGAAGAACGCAAGATGCTGGCTGAGAGTAACAGGGTGGGGAACCCAGTTTAGATAAAGTTGTCATTGAAGGAAACGAAAGGTGGTAAGTTTAGTTGAAAAGTAATAGAGAGGAGTAGGTATGTGAAGAGTTGAGGAAAAACATTCTAGGCAGAAGGAATAGCAGCACAGAGGCTCTGCTCCAAAGCCAGTACCTAGAATATAGTGGGAATTGGGGAGTGGCAGCTGTGACGGTTGGAGAGGCAGACCCGAGCTCTGTCATGCTTATATGAAGCGAGAATAGAATCACAGAGACCAATTAGGAAACATTTGTGGTCATCTAAGCAAGAGTTGTTGGTAGAGTAGCCTGAGGTTTTTGCAGAGTTGTATAGATTTTAATTATATTTTGGACATAGAACTGCTTGGTAGATTAGATACAGGATTGAGAAAAAGGGGAAGAATCCAGTATGATTCCTAGGTTTCTGTGTGGAATAACTGGGTAACTCATAATGCTGTTTACAAAGTTGGAAGCACAGGGAGAAACAGGGGAAGGTATGTGTGAGTGAGTTTTGAACATGTTAACTTTGGGAAGCCCCACTACATATCCAGATGGACACTGGGGAGTGGGCAGCTGGATATAACAGTCTAGATAGAGTTTAGAGAAGAGAACTGAGCTGAACATTTTTGAGAGTTGAAAATGAGTATGATCGTTTAAGGAAAGATTGTAGCTTAAAGGAAAAAAGAACTGTGATGACTTTTGGAAATAGGTGAAAGATCTAGCAACATGTTTGCTACCTGATATGTCTCATACATGATAGCCATTATGACTTTATCATGGGTAGGAGCCTGAGCCTTGGAATCCAGCAGTCTTGTGTGTCAGGTCTCTACTCCTCCACTTGAAATATTTGCGGTGGTCCAGATGCATCAGTGAAGTAGTAACACCTGTCTCACAGTGTTATGGGGGAAGCAGATATGTCTGTGCATAGTAAATGGGAGCTTTATTATTTGTAATCATTATATCATGTATTTCATTTAATGAAACATAGATAATTTCAGAAGACAGTAAGTAAAAAGAAAAATATATTCTTTTTTTAATAGCCTTGGACTCTGGATAGCACCATCAGTGAAGAGAACAGAGCTGTCATTGAGAAGATGTTGTTGGAAGAAGAGTATCCTTTAATGATTATGAGGAAAGTAAAGATTTTCGGGTTAAAAATCTGTAAGTGCAAGACTTACCAAAGAGACCACTGTTATTACTAGATGGACCTTACTTGGCCCCAGACTGCGATTATATAATGTGTTAGCTACCTATGAAAAAAGCAGCATTTTATTCCTCTGTTTCTGTTTTTCTGCAAAGTGTAGGATCTAACTCAATATGCTGGAGATTCTTTTCTCAACCACCTCTATACTGTCAGAATGTTGAGTAGAAATTATAAAACATTTTAAATCAGTGAGAACCTTTAGTCCATGTCCAAGATCACTTAGTCCAAGCCTCCATCTACAGTTGTAGAAGCTAAAACCCAGAGATGTTAATTTACCCAGAGATACACTTAGAATATGTAAAAGTTCTCACTTCTCACTCCGCCAGTTTACAGGTGTTATGTGGGAGGAATCTAAGTAAAAAGCACAAAACAGATACTGCAGGATGAAGATTTTCCCTCAGAAGTTGTAGGCCTTTATCCACAGTTTAGTCACTAGCTTCTTGTCCTTGTTTCTTTCATCTGTTTGATGATGGCAACTTCTTTGGGATTCCATTTTCTTATATATAAAATGAAAGAGTTGAACAAAATGACTTCTGATTTTATGACTTTGTAAAGATTATAAATAATAGTCTAATACATAGTGGTTTATTTTTAACTCTCATCTGTATTTTATGGGTATCTACCTCCTTTTTAAGCCAGAATTTCTCTGTTCCCTTTATTCCCTATTACTGCTATATTGAATTCAGAGTTTATGTTTACCTTTAATTGTCATAGGTTAACCCTTTTTAGGATTTCTTATTCTCTTACTTTCCCCAAACATCACAACTATAGCTTAGATCACTGCTTTTCAGTAGAAAAATAGTGCAAGACTCATATATCATTTAAGATTTTCTGGTAGCCACATTTAAAACAAATAGAATTGATTTTAATAAGATATTTTATTTAACCCAGTATATTTAAAATAATATTTTCAACATTTAACGATAGAAACACAGTATTGAGGTATTTTACATTCTTTGTTTACATGTGGTATTAGCTGATGCATTGAACAGTACAAGTCTCAATTAATTAATACTTAAGTAGTCATGGGTTCACTTCCAGATTTAGAAGCAGAAATAATGAAGAGGTTTGTGAGCTCTTAGAGGACAGGGATGTTTTCTTATATCTTTGTCCTCAGCTCCTGGTACCTAGTGTATTACCTGACATACATGATATATAGTCAATATTTGTTAAGGGAAGAACATGTCAAACTTATTGAAGAGTATTGCAGCAAGCCAGTTTTAAGGAGTCGGAGAGGGAAGCTCCATGGTAGATTTGACCTGTTATTAGTATTAATGTAGAGAACATCCTGAACTCTTTTTGTTATCTTTAGAACTAGGAAAACCTGTTAATCCTGGACAGCCAATCAGATTCATCTATTACATTCCCCATGTTTTAGGAAAAATGAATGAAAAAATTAAATGAAACACAGACTGTTTCTTCTCTTAACCACTTCTAATAAGGCATATAGGAGAAGCTAACATTTATGTAGCACACATTTTGTGTAGGTGCTGTGTTCATGTGATTTCACATATGGTATTTAATCCATGTAACAGCCTTGTGAAGTGTAGATATTTTTATTGTAGTTTTTGCAGATCTGGAAAAAGTTTTAAGAATTAATTTAGCTAGGATTCAAGTATGATTTTCATGGATGTGAGTACCTACTTAATATAAGTCACATAAAAATGTTATGATTTTATTATTGTTTTAAAAGTTTCTTTAATAATTACACAGGTATTACTTATCTAAAAAATCACTTCCAGAAAAATTCTGGCTCGATCAAAAGGAAGATGATAAAAAATATATGAAGAGGTAAAATCAATTTTTAACACTTTAAAAGTCTGAACTTACATTTTTAAAAACTTGTTCACAAGCTTCCTTATTTTCTTTTTCATGTGGTGCAGTCTACAGAAAACAGCAAAAATCATGTATGTACTTATACGTTTTATATTTTAAAATTATAGGAGAATTAAAAAATTATAGTTGGCTTGTGGAAAAACTCTTGACCTTGGGTTATACAAAAATATAAAATCAAAATTTCTTAGACAGTTGTTGGAATGCCACAAGATAATTTTATGACATTATTTATATGTCATAATTTCTTTTATGGGCCTATATAAGCTATTCCATTAGATTATGGAAAATGTGGTTTCCTAGGGATTTGTGGGGAAGTTTTTTAAAGCTGCTATCTAATTTAATAGGAATTGACTTGATTTCTATTACCTTGTCAGTTAATTTTCATGTTGAACAAAAATTTAATTTATGGCTTTCAGAAGTTATCTAGAGAAATCAAGTATTAACTGTTTTATAAATATCCTTTCCCTATAATAGAAGAAAATTTGATGTTATTTAGTGTTTATAAACTTCCATGTTTATGATTCTTCAAAGGGTAGACTTACAGATTTAGCACTGTCAAGGGTTTGAGCAGTGAGCAGACTTTGGCTTTTGCATTTTGCTGAATAAATAACAACAAAGAAGTTAATGACAAGATGAATGGTTTGCTTGAATTAAATTAATGAGTTCCATCACCACTTAATTTCTTAAGGACTGCATTTCAAAAGTAATAAACAGTGCCATAGTTTCTTCCTTTTGGGCTTGGTATTTACATAGATTTATATGGAAGAATCGAGAGAGAATATTTCTGGAGCCAACTTAAACATTTACCTGCCTTTCAGGATTTGGAAATGTACTAATATCTGCTGCTTTGTGTCCAGTCTAAGGAAGCGTATTTGTTTGTTACCACATTGACTTCCTTTGATGTCTTTTAGTGTTATCTTCATTCAGACCCAAGGATTATGTCTCTTGGGGCTCCTATCATCCTGAGCTAGATAAGTATATAAGACAGGGTAAATCTGTCCCCCAGGTAGAGGCTGCAGCCTTTTCTTCTCTTCTTTTATAACTCTTAGACTCACACAGTATTGAATTTAGCCTTTGGCTATCTATAACCTTTAGCTGCATAAATATGGAATGTTCCATTTCAGACTTTTTTTTTGCAATTCCTTTTTTTCCCCTCAGGGCACACTCTCCTACAAAACCAGCCAGTTACTCAGTAAAGTGGACGATAGAAGAAAAAGAGCTGTTTGAACAAGGGCTGGTAAATAGAGCAATTTTTAATTTATAGTAAAATAATTCTAGAAGCCAGTATTGATAGAATTATAAGGTTAATTTGGGGAGACCAGAAATTTCTTTCAATGATCACATCTTTAATTTTTCTGTAGTGATGATGTTTGTAGTACAGGAGACTTCCTTTTAACTTATAGCTAAGTCACTAAAATATTAAAATATACTAGGATCAATATTTTAAGATAATTTTCATCCCCTCCCCTTTTTATTGGTAATAATACCCAAGATACTGAGCTCTGTATACATTGACTACCTGGATTAAAGGACAAAATTACTTACCTGATGTCTTCTCTTGGGGAAAAAAAACTCAAACAACAACAACAAAAAAACCCTTGATACTTGGAACTGTCTGCATAATCAGCTGAGTTCTTATTTATTCAGGTACTTGGCATTGTGCACACAGTCTGAATATTCTTTTAGTGTATATAGTTGAAGACCAGAAACATATCTTTTGCATGAATGTTTCACTGAAATCTATTTAAATATCCAAATTACATAATAGAAAAAAATGTATGCCCATTTGTAATTCTGGAAATTCTCCCTATTAATAGGAAGAAACTTTTAAGTAAATATTCAAAAATTTTTTTTCTAATTATTAGGAGTAGGTTATATCTTTTCCTTTAAGGTACATGTTACCCAGTATTACACTAATTTTGAAATTACATAGATTTATATATTATGTATAGGATATTAGTATAATATTTATGTGGGTTTTATGAATACAAATTGAAATGTCATTATTAACATTTCTACAGATGACGGGAAATAAAATGTGTTTGTATTTTTATAGACATCGCCATGACTTCTGTATGTTCTGTGATGTCTTTATATAAATAAACTATCTTGAAGGTTTTATCTCCTCCTGAGGTTTTCTCCTGTACTGTTGATGTTTTTTATATTGGTATTTCATTCTGTTGCATGATTATCATTTTTATACCTAACTTTAATTAACCAGTCACTTATTTAAGATTGCTAACTACTTTGGTGTTTTGCCCCTCACCAAAGGCTATATATATGTGTGTATGTGTTTGTATACACATACACAAAAATGGGTTGTGTATTTTTAGGTGGTGATGATAGGGGCTATGTCTGCATGAGTCAAACTTCAAAGGGTATATAAAGTTATAGGTGTTAAGTCTCCCTATCACTCCTGTCTGTGTCTTCAGTTCTCTTCACCTTAGGTAGCCATTGTTATCTGTTCTCTGCATGTCCTTCCAGAGATATTTGTCCCTCTATATGCCAATATGTATTTATTTATATACATATGTAGGTATCTGTCTATATACATAAACAGATATTTTAAACCTAGAATGTTTTCCCACAAAACTACATGGAACTGTTGGTTGTATTCACAGCCTTTTTAACCTGTTGATATAGTTTGCTTATACACTGAATTTTCTCAGGCTTTAGAGAAGGGAATTATGTGGTACTGAAAGGAAAATTTTCCCTCCCTTTTGGAAATAGAATTGTCTCTGCTCTATTTTGAAATTGGTGTTTTCTTTGTTCCTCTTGTTCACATACCCTCTCCAGTTTTCATAATGCTCAAGTCCCTACAATCCCAACTGGCTATACTCTGTCCAGATCTTTGATCTCTCCAAAAGTGCTCCATCCTATGAAGTTACTCATTTGCTTTCATCCCACAAAATTTAACTAATTGTTCAGTAATTTGATCTTAGCTAGTGTTAGTTAATAATGATCTTAATTTATATTTACTAAGAATTTTCCCAGAAATACTTTCAGTTTTAAGAAATTGTTCACATGTCATATTTTCTCATGAATATCAGAAATAAGTATATAATTAACTTGTCATTGGGTCAGGTTTTGAAGATGATTTGCCACCATAAGTCATGACCTATAAATGTTATATAAATCTGGCCCTGGGATCAGCTTCCCTGAGTTGTGGAGATACTGTGAAGATTTATGTATCAAATAATAGACTTGATACCTAAAAATTCCTTTTAGCTTTAAAATTATATTTCATTCCTTTCTGTACTTCAGAAAACAGCAGAGCTCCCTCAGTGTTTCAGTTTTTTCCCCAGCACAACTTTGTCATTAGTGGGTATAAACCTTTAACAGTACTGGGGTAGAGGGAGGTGCTGGCTGCAGGTTGCTTCATTTGTGATTCATTCGTTTTTCGAAGTCTGTTTTCTGTGATACCTGAGTAGAGTAAAGGTATCTGCTATGGGACAGGTAATGGATATTGTGCCAGATGGAATGTGGGTAAAAAAAGATACTTTGAAATTAGTTCTAGAACATAATCAGTTGATTCTATAAATGGAAAATGTAACCTGCCTCTTTTTCAGGCACTTGTTTTTTTAGATTTGGAACATTGTAGTGTTCAATATGAATACGTACTGTTAGAAATACATAAAAGTGGTGAATCTTCATTTAGATAGCTGTAAAAAGAAAACTAATTTCTAAATCATTTTGGTCAGTTTTCAGAAGTCCAGATTCCAAGAGTGTGGGCTTTACTTTTAAGTCTTAGCTTATATATCAGGTTTTGTTGTATGCTTTAGAAAATAAATAAAGATGGGTTGTTCTTTTAGGTTTTTGGTTTTTTTTAATGTGCAGTTGCTTGGAATATTAACAAGTAAGTTAATCAAAATCAATTTCTTTCCCATTTTGATAACATAGGCTAAATTTGGCCGAAGGTGGACCAAAATTGCAAAGCTAATTGGAAGTCGCACTGTTTTACAAGTTAAGAGTTATGCCAGGCAGTATTTTAAAAATAAGGTAAGCAGGATATAAATATCCTACTTAGTAATAGTATTTGCAATGAATAAAATTAGGAAGCAAAAGTAGTGCTTTAATTCGGGCATTAATGTCAATATTCAAAGTTTTTGTAGCGAAAGTATTTTATATTCATAAAGTACTCAACACATGTTTATATTCAGAAATCTCAAAGCATATCTTAAGTGCTTTGAGTATTAAGAGCTCCTGGAAAATATCTTTTCTTTTTAAAGATTTGCATTGTAGCTTTTTTTGTTTTTGTTACTGTTTTATTAGCAAGATGCCTACTTGTAAGTTCTGAGAAGAGTTTGATTTAAAAACCAGTCTTTTCAATATATGAGTACAACACCCAGTCCAGAAGAGCAAGCCCACAAGCTCTAGAATGATGTTTGAAAATATAAGCTGTTAGAGGTGCCCGGCTGCTCATTTGGCAGAGCATGCTACTCCTGATCTCTGAGGTTGTGAGTTCAAGCCCCATGTTGGGCACAGAGCTTACCTCTGTCCTGGCTGCAAGAGAGGCTGGGGAGGTTTCTGGATTTTACTTGGAGGTTTAAGAGCTCCTAACAAAATTGACGCTGGATGTTCCAAAAGCTTGGACTGGCTCCTGCTCTGAATGTTTTGTTCCTACTCCATCCTCATGGCGGCAGCTTCTACTATATTCTCAGGACTCCACGGTCTGTGGCTTCAGCCTACTTCTCTGCTGGGCCTCCTCCTGCAGGCACACGGGACATCGTAGTAGCCTCAGAACCTCTGTCTGAAGATTTGCCTTGTAGCTTTTAGGAATGATTAGAGCTTAGGGACCATAAATGCTAACATGAAACTAAAATCTGTTTAATAACAATGAAACTTTTATAAATTTTTTGAAGAATTATATGAAAACTTCAATAAATTGAAGTGTTCAGAAAAGCATAGTTTTGGTGTAGTTCTTTAATCTTTTAAGTAATCTGTGCTATGTTCAATCATGTAGTTTGATATTTAGAAAATTTTAATGTCTTCTCTGCTTGATTTCTGGGAACATAATTATATGGATTTTGACAAGGTCTTAAGTAAAATTTGCTGTTTTCTTTTAATGCAAATAATGGGTTTTATCCTGTATACAAGATTTATATAACTTAATGTCATTTGAGCATGGGAAGTAAAGAGTGGAATGGATTCATTATATATCAGTCATCTGCTCCTTCTTTAACCAAGAAAATGCATATTCAAGGCAGCTTGGCAAGGTTAAGGTATTCTGGAAGAGAATAAAGTTTAACTTGGTTATTCCAATCCCCATGCTTCTCAGACTAGAACATGCAGAACATCTTAGGGTGTCAGTTTTACTCAAAGACTTGGGATGAAAGGATATATTGTGATGTTAAAAGAGACATTCATAAAAAATATAATATGAAATCTTACCTGAATTTTTAAGGTTAAAACAGGAGGCTTGAAGTAAATAGCAAGGTTGTTAAAGGCTTTTCCAGGCCATATGTCCAAATTTCCTTTTCTCTCCTGCTACCCTTTTATTCTTCTTTACATAATAAGCCAGTTAATCTCAAATACTAGATACTAGGATTCTGTTGTGATACAGGATCTGTATGTAAGTAAGCTCTTTTTAGGAGCTGAAATCCCTTGGGTATGCCAGTCATGTACAAAATTTTTCGAAAACCATGTGGGAAGATTTTATTTCAAATCATTTATATTCATTGATAGTCATTTTTTTCTCCATCGACTAGATATTTATGTCTGTAATAGTACATATGGAAGATAATTTCATGCCTTAAATTATAAGCTGTATAACAGTAGAGCTACATTAAATGAACCTTTGAAAAATAGTTTGTTTCTATTATATCTGTATTTAAATGAAAGATGAGTTTAATTTACTAAATAAAGATATGTGACCTAGATTCCTTTAAATAATGGGCTGTTCAGCATTATAAACAATAATCAGCTGAGGTATCTGACATTCTAAGATATTAGCTGTTGAAAATATTTTAGTATCTTAAAGAATACCTTAGTATAACAGTTGTTGGTTCATTCTCTGGTTGATTTGAGACAGAGTCCTATTTTAAACTTAATATTGAGGCTGGTCCGAAGGTAGTGAGTTATCTCAATTGATTGTTCACAGTCAGTTACAGATTAAACTTAATATTGAAAAACAGGTAATAGTTGTACAAGGTCATAGGTCATGATTATTTGATAAATAAAATCAGCTGGCCACAAATGAGTCAAATATAATGATAGAAATTTGAAATGATATTTTACATTTAAAATGCAGTTCTAAATCCTTAAAAGCACAATAAAGGTATAATATACCATTGAATTAATAATACTGTATTTATTATATATGTGCCAGTAGATAAATTTTTAAATGTTAATATGGGGATTTTTATCTTGATTTTTAATAAGGTAAAATTAGATGGTCCAGAGAAGGAAATGCCAAATCAGAAGAGCAGCAGTGATCTTCAGACTAAAAATGAAGATGAAGGCACGAAGGCATGGACGCCATCAAGTTTAAGGGGACATGCTGATCCCAACTTGAATGCTATAAAAATTGAAAAGTTATCTGATGACGAAGAAGTAGACATCACAGATGAGGCAGATGAGTTGACTTCTCAAGCTCCCCAAAAGAATCCTAGCAATGATGTCTTATTAAACATTTCTAATAGTAAAAGTCATGAAACCAGTCAAGGGGAGTTTATTGCTTACAATCAGGAAGATTCTGTATCTGAGTCTTCCAAGGAATATTTTCAGAATATAAAGCAAGGTGAGATGGAAGCACTTTCAAGTTCAGGAAGTAAGTTTTGGACTGAAAAACAGAGCATTAGTGACAAAAAATCAGTTGAATTAAATGATCAGAAATGTAATAAACTGATGAAAAACTCTGAAAAACATGATGGAAATGGAATAATAGATGATGCCAGGCCATTGCCTTCTCCAGAGCCTTGTGAAATTCAGAAAGACTTGTGTGATAATGAAATGCTTTTTCATTCTTCCTGTCAAATGGAGGAGGAGAGCCATGAGGAAGAAGAGCTTAAGCCACCAGAACAAGAAGTAGAAATAGATAGAAATACCATTCAAGAAGAAGAAAAACAAGCAATTCCTGAGTTTTTTGAGGGGCGCCAAGCTAAAACACCAGAACGCTATTTGAAAATTAGGAATTACATTTTGGATCAGTGGTAAGGAAGAATTATATTTTAGATACTGTTGTAATATGTATGATGCTCTAGAGTATTTTAATTAGGCCTATGCAGAATTTAGTATTTTACATCAGTAGTGATGTGGAGAGCTCAAACATATGAATGTATTTTAATAGGCAAGACTTAAAATTTTTCATAATGAAATTTTCTTTGAAAGCTTTGGTAAATATTATTGTCTCTAGCTATCTCAACCCATCTGTCTGTTCATTAAGAATATTTGGTCCTGGAAAAAAGAGATAATTTGCTTTAAGAAGCAGTTTCTTGGGCGCCTGGGTGGCTCAGTTGGTTAAGCAACTGCCTTTGGCTCAGGTCATGATCCTGGAGTCTTGGGATCGAGTCCCGCATTGGGCTCCCAGCTCCCTGGGGAGTCTGCTTCTCCCTCTGACGTTCTCCCCTCTCGTGCTCTTTCATTCTCTCTCTCAAATAAATAAATAAAATCTTTAAAAAAAAAAAGTTTCTTAGGACAGTGTTAGGAAGATACAAAAACATTACTACACTGGAAAAGGGGGAGAATGTCTTTCCTAGTTTATCATGTACGTGTAAGTAAAAAAAACAAATTTTCGTGACAGAAGGATATTTCTGTCATCAAGTGTGGCTAGATTACAGAAACCATTCTAAATTGCTATAAATGCTTTCAGCTTTGATCTTATAACGTAATGTGTTAATAATCTCTTCATCCAGCTTCATCAGGATATAGGAATTTTCTAATATATGAAATTTATCTTCTAAATTATCAGAATTTGAATTATTTAGCATTGGATGGGGCACAAACCAAAAAACTTCCCACCTTATTAGCCTAAGTGCTCTGCAAATAATTTGAATTTTTCCTAACAGCTTAAGACATTATCAAACATTCATAATTACTATTTTTGCTTCAGGAGATACTGAATTATGTAGGGCCATCTTTACAGAGGACTTATGCTATAAGTTAGGAAGATTGCCAAAGGAAAACAAATAACCAGGCTTACTACATCAGTAACCTTCATTGCCGTACAATATTAATTTGGTTTTCAAAGATAGCTCTATTCTAAATGAAGTATTTTTGCTCTTGCTCTTGACTGATGGTTGAGATGACTAAAAGTAAAATTTCTGGGTTAGGGTGGTATCAAATGAAAGAAGAATTATAAGGAAAAACTGATAGTTGCACAGTGCTTTACAGTTTACAGAAAGCTTTTCTATGTTTTGATTCCTCACAACTGGCCTAAAAATAGGCAGGTAGTGTTTTCTAAAGTGTTTGATAGATTCTGCGGTCAGGAGAGGTTTGGGGGTCTGCCTTTTATTATACAACCAGCTACGACAGAAGGACCTATACGCAGGTCTCAACCCTGTCCGTCAGTCTCCCCATTATTTCACATTGCCTGATTGATTCACACTATTGAAGAGGACCGATCAAATTAGATCTCAACGGGTATCTAATTTTGTTTTTGGAAATAGGATGAATGGCCAAAATCAAAGGACTTAAAATAATATCTCAAAAATTTTTTATGTGTATGAATCATCAATGAGTGACTTAATGGTGCTTTAATCAATTTCATTTATTTGAATTTGAATAAATTCATTTATTTGAATTTTGCCTCAATAAGGCAGAATAACTTCTATAGATGATATAAATTATATGGCAGTAGTTTCCTAAAGACATTTGCCTTAGTTCAGAAAACCACTTAAATGTTATTTCAATATAGTGATTTAGCAAACAGTGTGAAAGCAGAAAGAAATGTTTTGGAACAGGAACTCAAAACTATTCTCTTCAGAAATAGAAGAGGGAACTAGAGGTGGTGTTAAAAAAAATTTTAAAAAAAAGAGTAAAGTTTTGAAATAAAAAAGACCTGCTAGATTTGTTTGTAGCTAAAAATTCCTTTCCATAAAAACACAACTGACTTCCTGTTGAGGGGTATGTTTTATTAAGATAGTAACCAATACCATTATAAATGCCTACCAAATACATTTAAGTGTATTTAAATCGTCTCCAGTCCTCTTGGCAACCTTGTCCTCATTTTACAGATGAGAAAAATGAGGTTCAGAGAGAAAAAGGAACTTGTTCCAGGTCACATTAGGGGAAAGTGATTTCAGGGTCTTGCAGTCTTACTCCTTATTTTCATACTTCATCTCAGGTCCTTTACCCGGACTTTTCATTCTGCCTTGGATGCTCCCCCTACTCTGCCCCCCAGGTCTTACTGAACTGTGCATCATCAAGTCGTTCAGGTCTGCTCCAAAAGAACTAGAGGACTTCATGACCACCCTATCTAAAATAGCTCCCAGCTCTGCCTACCACTCTCTTGCTCTGTATTTTATTATGTTCATAGAACTTACTACTACTGGATATTATATTTTTATTTGTGTATTGTCTCCTCTTCCTTCCTCCTCCTTCCCCATGATAATACAGGCTTCACATGGGCAGAGTTTTGTCTGTTTTTTTCATTGTTACACTCCTAGTTCTTAGGACAGTACTTGTTCTAAGCAAATACAGAGGCACTCTAATTGTTGAGGGAGAAAGATGGTGCAAATGAATCATGAATAAGTATCTTTAGAGGCCTTACCTCTTTTTTTTAAATGATTTTATTTATTTATTAGAGAGCACGTGCACAGGTGAGGGGAGAGGCAGAGGACAGAGGGAGAAGCAAGACTCCCTGCTGAGCAGGGGGCCCTATGAGGGGCTTAATCCCAGGACCTTGGGATCATAACGTGGGTTTAAGGCAGGCACTTAACCTACTGAACCACCCAGATGCCCCTAGAGGCCTTCCATTTGATTAGCATCATGATGCTAGTGCTGAGCTCTTTTTAAAGACTTTTGATTTGGGCAGTCTTTAAGTCAATACAGTTTTTAGATTTCCTGTAGATTTTTGGAAGCTGGTTACACTGCTTATTCCTGCTCTCTTGGCTTCATTTGTGCAGTTTGTTTCCTTTGATTGAAGTGAAGTAAAAAAACACTGGGATCTCGAACTTTTTAGTGGAATCCACCTCCGCCCCAGCCATGGTTATATTCATTTTTTTAGAGAGCGCATGCAAGTGGGGGAAGAGGCAGAGGGAGAGAATCCCAGGCTGACCGCCTGCTGAGCACCCGACACTGTGAGACTGTTTCACAACCCTGAGATCTTGGTGACTTGAGCCAGAACCAAGAGTCAGGTGCATAACTCGATGAGCCACTAGGTGCCCTCAGTGGAATTTCCGATACCCTTCCACATCACAAGTTACTTTTTGCCTTCCCTGAATGTCTGTAGAACTAATGGTTTTATTTATTTATTTTTAATAGTAATTTTTGTTAGGAGGAAAAAAAATTTTTTTTAAGATTTTATTTGTTTATTTGACAGGCAGAGATCACAAATAGGCAGAGAGGGGTGGGGGTGGGAAGCAGGCTCCCTGCCGAGCAGAAAGCCCGATGGATGCGGGGCTTGATCCCAGGACCCTGGGATTATGACCAGAGCCTAGGCAGAGGCTTTAACCCACTGAGCCACCCAGGTGCCCTGAACTAATGATTTTAAATTTGGTTTCTGCTTAGGCCTTCTTTAAATACCCTATCTAAAATAGTCTGCACCTAGTATTCTCATTCTATCCCTTATCCTTCTTACTTTTTCTTCCTAGAACTTGTTGCTGCCTGTCATTATGTATTTTATTTATATATTTATATATATATGTATGTATGTATATATATATATACATATATAATAGATATTATTCATTGTGTATATTCTGTTAGCATGTAAGGTCAGGAACTTTATATTCATCTCTGGATCCTTAGTGCCTAAAACAGTGCCTGGTGTGTAGGATGCAATGTAAATATTTGTAGACTAAAATAAAGATTAAATAAGAAATACCTGTTATATGATATGTCTGAATACTTGGTTTATGACGTCTGTATGTAAATCTCCACTTTAACCTCCATAAGCAAGTACTTTAATCCCCCTAATTTTTCATTTCCTCCTCTCTAAAATGAGAATAAGAATAATAAATGCTACTTTGTAGAGTTATGAGGATTAAGGTTGATAACTATTAGTACTGGCATAAGCATTTTTGCTACTATTAGTACTCCATTACTCTTAACCTGTATCTACTATGGTATAGTAACTATATTCAGTAAATATTCATTTTATTATGTATACTTTTTAATTTTTTCATAGTCTTTGGGCATTTCTTGATTCCTTTGAAATCCCCTATAATATCTCTTTCTGTTTTCCAGGGAGAGTAAGCACTTGATATTTATTGGTGTAATGTTTAAAAACCAATATAAAACTTTTAAGCATTTGTAAGTTAGCTTATAATTAGAATATACTGTCCAGCAAAGTAAAAGTAGATGAAGCTAAGCAATATATTAAAAACAAGAAAAGCCTAATAGTAAATATTGTAGATATATTATCAGAGTGCCCTTTTTATTCAAACATTGAAGTTTGAATTTGGATCTGTTGACAAAGCTTCTAACTTTAAAATCTTGGGATAACCGGAATCTCTTACATTTCATATGGGAAAGAAATAATACTTAATAAAAATCACATTATACTCCTACGATTTTGTATCATTTAAAGATATCTCAGGAAAAAGTACACTTGGGTATTATGTATTAGCATTGTTTTTACTACACATTTACAGATTGAGAGGGGGTAAATTTTTAAGATATTTCAAATATCAAAAGTTTTCCCCAGAAATCTTTTTTTCATGTTTTTATTTATCCAAAATAACTGTACTTCCATCTCTTAATTAGGGAGATATGCAAACCGAAATACTTAAATAAGACCTCAGTACGTCCTGGCCTGAAGAACTGTGGGGATGTTAATTGTATTGGACGGATTCATACATACCTCGAGTTGATAGGAGCAATCAATTTTGGATGTGGTAAAAATAAAAACCCAACAACATCTTTTACACAACATTTTTTTATCGTTAGAGCACCCATTAACTTCTTGGTTAGAATTCAAGCAGATTTAGTATAGATAGAGAATTCAAGAGGATGTTATAACATTATGAAGTAAATGTATCATTGAGTTGTTTCTTTAAAGCAGATTTCTGTTGATCAGACTGTATTTTCCTGTAACCTGCAGTGAAAGTGGTGGTATGAAAAGGAAAAATAGTCAAAGTAGTAGAAATAATTTAACAATGCAGCTCTTTGTCAAGTAAAAGTAGTCATTTTAAGAAAAATCTAGTAATGGCCCATTTAATTTGTAAAATCTGTATTAATGCTAGAAATACTGTCTAGCAGTGTTTAAATAAAGGAAATAATTTATGAGCCTCTACACTTAAATGTAATAAAAGTGTCAAAATATTTTTCATGGAAGAAAGTTTCTTTCACCCTAGTTTTTCTCAAATTTAAAGTCAATGAATATGCATGACTTTAAATGTATTCTTCACTTTTATTGAATTAACGTGACACAAACATTTTAAAAAAAGATAATAACCATAGTTGCAAAGTGATAAGGTAATTAGAACTTTGTAACCCATGGTTTCAGAAAAGTATATTCTATATTGTATGTATAAGAGAAGACAGCTAACCGGAAAGTTCCCTTTCAGAGATTATTTTATTTTGTAGGAGAGAGAATTCACAGTCTGCCCTGTGGTCTGTCCTTCATTTCAGTGTGTTTGTTACCCCAAGCACTGTATATGGGACTGGCTAATCAAGAAAACTAGTGTCACAGCTTCTTCAGCGACAGAAGCAAAATCATGTTTTCTGTATTAGATATTTGAATTCAGCAAAGTGGGCTTGGCACTCATTTAGTTAGAAATTCAGTTACCCATCTCACGAATACCCCGTTTTACTGGGATTTCCTTAAGAGCCTTACTTTTACTGAGAACTTCCAAGTGATTGTAGAGAAAGATAGAAGCTCAGGTGTAACAGAACTTAGACATTGGCTTACAACTTACAGTCAGTGTAGATGTGTCTTCCTGGTTAACAAATGAGTTTCAGAAAATAATAGATTGTTTTGTTTCTCCTGAATTCCGGTAGAACAGGCTGTATACAACAGGCCACAACCGGTTGACAAAGTACGAGTCAGAGACCGAAAAGATACAGTGGAAGCATACCAGCTTGCACAGCGTCTGCAGTCTGTGGTAAGCAGCCACCCCTCGCTAAGAAATCTCTCCAGATTGCTCCTGGCCCTGTTAGTCAGGTGTGCTGCCTTCTCGCCTGCTATTTAACAAAGGAACGTGTTTTCTCTCATAGTCACCTTAGGCATTCACTTTCCTGGTTCCCGTTCAGTTCCAAGTTAGCTATTTATTTCTTTTTTTATTTTATTTTTTTAAAGATTTTATTTATTTATTTGACAGGCAGAGATCACAAGATCTCTCTGCCTGCCTGCAGAGAGGCAGGCAGAGAGAGAGAGGAAGAGGAGGAAGCAGGCTCCCTGCCAAGCAGAGAGCCCGATGCGGGACTCGATCCCAGGACTCTGGGATCATGACCGGTGCAGAAGGCAGAGGCTTTAACCCACTGAGCCACTCAGGCACCCCCACGTTAGCTTTTGAAAGGGCAAAAATGAGAAATACCCCACAGCTCACGGCAGACTTGACACGGAAGCATTGTGCTTTGCTTGCGTGCTCTTAGATTGCTTGGTTCTGGTTTTTGTATCTAGAGTGTCTTCTACTGCCATCCAGTCAGGCTCATTTTTCTCTTTCAGTTACTTTATTTAAGTCTAACTTTTAAGATTCAGCTTTTTAGAATAGCTATCCAAACTCTTGTAGCCTTTCCTTAATTTTTGAGGTTAGTGAATTTTACAGTATCTCACAATTCATGAATCTTATTTTTTAAAATGGGTGATCCTGCAAGTCCTCTAAAAGGCAGAGTCATACTGGATTCTTATTGGTTTTACTAATGAAGTAGGTTAAATTGGTAATAGGTGAGGCAAATGAAGAAAAGTACCGCTAATAGAGTGGGTATTTTTTTTAGGGTGTTTAGGCTGTAAATCATTTCTACCTAAATTTACTGTAGTAAGAAAGGTTGTTTTTAGATCCTGGAAATGGTAGTTGCTGGAAATGGTGCTTTTCATATGCTGGTTTCTGAGCCGGTGCATTTTAAAGGCTTCAGTATTGGGGTTTACAAAACTGGGTATTAGTAATCCAGTCAGCTAACTTTGTACTTCTTTCTCTTTGTATCCACTAGTCAATCTTTCCTTTTCTAAGGCTGAGAAATAATTATTTTGCTCCTAGTTTTCAATATTCTACCTCTTGCTGTGGGTTCTTGCAAGTTTTCGATCACAAGTGGTTGAAAGGGAAGTCATTTTCTTGGTGGTTCTTTTGGTCTTAAAAATACCTTTTGTCCTAGTGTTTTAGCTCCTAAAGGTGAAGAGAAATGAAAATTCAAGAAGAAATTCAAGTAAAATTCAGAAAATCACTACTGACTTATTTTTGAGCAGAGTGCTGTTAAACATAAATTAATAAAATAAAATTTATTCAGGCATTACTGATCAGAGATTATATTTTAATGAAGAAATTAACTGATTTTTAGAAAAATACCATTTTGGTGTTATATATCAGTGTGCTGATTTCTCCAACTAAACCTTGTTAACCTTTTGCTTTATTTTGATGCTTACCCCAGCGCACAAGGAGACGTAGGGTCCGAGACCCATGGGGAAATTGGTGTGATGCAAAAGACTTAGAAGGACAAACTTTTGAGGTAACTTTGACCTTTGCAAATAGCTTTTCAGTGAAAGTTGTTCTGGCAGTTGTATTTATATATCTTAATGCCACATGTGTTACACTCGTTTGTGCTTGTGTGTGTGTATCCTTCCTGTGTTAATTTTATTGTCCAGAGGTCACCAAGAAATAACAAAATAAAGGCATCAGTACACTTAACTAGGAGTTTGGTTCATTTTCTGTATTTTAATTGTCTATTCTGCATTCTGGCCTCTAGTTCAACAATATCTGCTGGTTTTCCAGTAAGTTGGTACGCCTAATTCATTTCAGTCAACATTTAGTTTTTATTCTTTAAAAATTTTATTTCTTTATTTGACAGAGATCACGAGTAGGCAGAGAGGCAGGCAGAGAGAGGAGGAGAAGCAGACTCCCTGCTGAGCAGAGAGCACAACAGAGGCTCGATCCCAGGACCCTGAGATCACGACTCGAGCTGAAGGCAGAGGCTTAACCCACTGAGACACCCAGGCGCCCCTCAGTAAACATTTATAGAATGATGTTCTGATACACCATTTAAAATATTGTCCCACAAGCACTTAATAAGCTTTATATATACCAGTTAGTAAATGTTATTTTTTCTTCCTGGATTTAAGTGCCCCCCCCCCCCAAAAGGTTCTTTCTTCCCCATTCCCTGCCTCCGCCTCACACCTAAGTGCCAGTCCAGGCATGGCATTAGTCAATGCGTGGTTCCTGCCTAGAAGGAACTTAATTTCTAGATTAAGGAAAGATGACGTCTGATAAGTTCCATAAGATTTGTCTTAAGAAATGTCAGGTCTTCCCCAAAGGGTGTGGTCAGAGGAGGTATCACAGAAAATGTGATATTTCAACTGTGACATAAAGGATTAGCAGGAAAATTAGTACATGAGGACATTCCAGGCCAAGGGAGAAGCATAAACAAAGGTATAGACAGGGAAAATACCAAATTCTGAAAAAGATGCATTGTTCATTTGCGCTAGAGTATAAGAGCGGTGGTAGAAGTGGGATGTGTTCTGTACTTAATATTATCAGGATTTTATAAACATTAATCAAATCAGTCATCACAGTAATACCAGGACATTGTTGTTATTACTACATGTGTTTCCATGTTAAAGGTAAGGAAACTAAAGCACAAAAAGCTTCAGTAACTTATCCAGGGCCACCCAGTAAGTAGCAGAGCCAGGCATTCTGTCTCTAGAATCTGTGCTTTTTATCATTATGTTTCAGTGTCTTCTGGTTGGGAAAGAAAACTCAACACAGTAGGACTTGGTGACTAGAAATAGGGAGTAAGTAAGAGGAGGGACTCCAGTGATTCTGAGATTTTTTAACCTGGGTGACTGGTGCCATTAATTAAAATGGGCAAAACAAGAGAAGGAATAAGTTTTAAGCTTGGTGTGGCTGTAAATTTTGGAACAATTTTTTTATATATGGTCCAGCATTTCGGTTTGCTAGTAGAAAGGTGAGACACATCTACATCAATGTGTTGATCTCATTCTCACCATGCCTAAACCTAAATATGGTTTAAAGAGTTGTTTTGTTTTTGTTTTAATTCTGCCTCTCATTGGCTGATTGACTTTTTGATCAACGTGTGTTTTATGTTTTAGCATCTCTCTGCTGAGGAATTGGCAAGAAGAAAAGAGGAAAAATGTAAACCTGTTAAATCCTCAAAAGTACCAAGACCAACAAAAAGGTATAGTGTTATATAAGTACAATTTTTTTAACTTACCACAATGATTAGGAAATGCATGGAAAAAAATATCTGATATAACATTATATTAATATTAAGTCAAAAAATACTAAAATTTTTGAAATTTTTTATTTCCCTGATTATCAGTTTAGAAGACCTTAAACAAAAGTTTTAAATTTGTTTGGGTTTAGTGACTATAGGATCCAACATATGTTGTAAAGGGGCCTTAATTATGACAGGTAGTCATTCATCTTCTTAGACATTATAAACAGATAACCTCATGAAATGACTTCTTTCTTTGGTTGGTGCTGATTATTAGCAAGGTTTCTTCTTCTTGAATAATCTGGTGTTTGTAACTTGTAACAGTTAAGGTCACCAAATAAGTTAAATGTCTTGATTTTCTAGACCCTTACTTTCTGCAGATGCTCCACTGAATAGGCTATAGTTTTGTCAGTGTCCCTTTTAAAACAAGATATCTAGGAATGGCACTAAGTCATTTTCACTGGAAAGAGCCCCTGATGATTAACCAGGGGTATGTTACATAAAGCCTTAAGCCTTCAGTCCTCACTTACAAAGTAGTGATTATAATAGCTAAGACTGTTAGTTAGCTATGTTTTAAGCACTCTATCTATATTAATTCATTTAATCCTCATAACTACTCAGTGCAGTAGTTAATATCATTCCCATTTTATAGGTGAGGAAACTGAGGCACAAAGAGCTTGAGAAACTTGCCTATGCTTGTTAGTGGTAAGGCTGTGATTTAAATCCAATCAGTTGAGTTTAAGAATCCATACTGCTAACCATTACATTACACATCACTTCTCTAAAATAAAAATTAAAACTTACAGTTGTTGTGAGAGTGAGTTAAATGAGATAAACCAAGTAAAAGAGATAGGCATCCATAAGCTAGGACTCCTCATCCAGTATCCAGACATTTGATTTTCTGAATTTAACTGTGAGGCATATTTATTGTGATTTCCAGGCCCTTTTTCCAATTTGTCAGGATCTTTCTGAATTCACATCCACTTTCCTCGTTTACCCTTCATAGCTTTGAATTAAAAACATTTCAGTAAGCTTATCTCTTCTGTCATTGACTACTGATTAAAATGTTTAACTGAGATAAATGTAAGCCTCAGACATTCATTGTTCAATCAGCTACACATTGCTATGGTTAACTGTTTTTTCATCTTATACAAAAGAAAAAGCTTAACAGATATCTTGCTTATGTTCAGATAAAATATATTTGAATCTCTGAGTCTGCTAGTAACTAGCAAAATCAGTCCTGTCAAAAATGAAATTTAGGGTAGAGGAGTCAAGATGGTGGAGAATTAGCAGGCTGAGACTACTTCAGGTATTGGGAGATTAGCTAGATAACTATCTAAAGATTGCAAACACCTACAAATCCAACAGGAGATCAAAGAGAAGAAGAACAGCAATTCTAGAAACAGAAAATCAACCACTTTCTGAAAGGTAGGACTGGCGGAGAAGTGAATCCAAAGCGACGGGAAGATAAACTGTGGGGGGAGGGGCCGGCTCCCGGCAAGCGGCGGAGCAACGGAGCACAAAATCAGGACTTTTAAAAGTCTGTTCCGCTGAGGGACATCGCTCCAGAGGCTTAACCGGGGTGAAGCCCACGTGGGGTCAGCGTGGCCTCAGGTCCCGCAGGGTCACAGAAGGATCGGGGGAATCTGAGTGTCGCAGAGCTCGCAGGTATTAGAACGGGGAAGCCGGCTACAGAGACGGAGCCGAGGAGTGACTCTCAGCTCGGGGTTACCTTGAACCGGTCGCAGGTTCGGTCAGCTCGGAGCGCGGCCGGAGGCCAGGCAGACGGGAGTAATTGGGCGCTGTTCTCTGAGGGCGCACTGAGGAGTGGGGCCCCGGGCTCTTGGCTCCTCTGGGCCGGAGACTGGGAGGCCGCCATCTTCATTCCCGTCCTCCGGAACTCTACGGAAAGCGCTCAGGGAACAAAAGCTCCCAATAGCGAACCCGAGCGGATTACTCAGCCCGGCCCCTGGTAAAGGCGGTGCGACTCCGCCTGGGGCAAAGACACTTGAAAATCACTACAACAGGCCCCTCCCCCAGAAGATCAACAAGAAACCCAGCCAGGACCAAGTTCACCTACCAAGGAATGCAGTTTCAATACCAAGGAGAGCCGCGGAATTCCAGAGGAGGACAAAGCAAAGCAGGGAACTCATGACTTTCTCCCCATGATTCTTCAGCCTTGCAGTTAATTTTTTTTTCTTTCTCAATTTTTTTTCTCTTCTTCTGCTAAATTTTTTTAACTTTTACCCTTTTCTTTTTTAATGTTTTTTAACTAGTTTATCTAATATATATATATATATATTTTTCCTTTTTATATTTTTTCTTATTGGTTTTCTTTTTTTAATTGTTTCTTTTCTTTTTTTTTTTTCTTTCTGAACGTTTTTATCCCCTTTCTCCCCCCCTCACGATTTGGGATCTCTTCTGATTTGGCTAAAGCATATTTTCCTGGGGTTGTTGCCACCCTTTTAGTATTTTACTTGCTCCTTCATATACTCTTATCTGGACAAAATGACACGGCGGAAAAATTCACCACAAAAAAAAGAACAAGAGGCAGTACCAAAGGCTAGGGACCTAATCAATACAAACATTGGTAATATGTCAGATCTAGAGTTCAGAATGACGATTCTCAAGGTTCTAGCCGGGCTCGAAAAAGGCATGGAAGATATTAGAGAAACCCTCTCGGGAGATATAAAAGCCCTTTCTGGAGAAATAAAAGAACTAAAATCTAACCAAGTTGAAATCAAAAAAGCTATTAATGAGGTGCAATCAAAAATGGAGGCTCTCATTGCTAGGATAAATGAGGCAGAAGAAAGAATTAGCGATATAGAAGACCAAATGACAGAATAAAGAAGCTGAGCAAAAGAGGGACAAACAGCTACTGGACCACGAGGGGAGAATTCGAGAGATGTGACACCATAAGACGAAACAACATTAGAATAATTGGGATTCCAGAAGAAGAAGAAAGAGAGAGGGGAGCAGAAGGTATATTGGAGAGAATTTCCCCAATATGGCAAAGGGAACAAGCATCAAAATCCAGGAGGTTCAGAGAACCCCCCTCAAAATCAATAAGAATAGGTCCACACCCCATCACCTAATAGTAAAATTTACGAGTCTTAGTGACAAAGAGAAAATTCTGAAAGCAGCCCGGGAAAAGAAGTCTGTAACATACAATGGTAAAAATATTAGATTGGCAGCAGACTTATCCACAGAGACCTGGCAGGCCAGAAAGAGCTGGCATGGTATATTCAGAGCACTAAACAAGAAAAACATGCAGCCAAGAGTACTATATCCAGCTAGGCTATCATTGAAAATAGAAGGAGAGATGAAAAGCTTCCAGGACAAACAAAAACTGAAAGAATTTGCAAACACCAAACCAGCTCTACAAGAAATATTGAAAGGGGTCCTCTAAGCAAAGAGAGACCCTAAAAGTAGTAGATCAGAAAGGAACAGAGACAATATACAAAAACCGTCACCTTACAGGCAATACAATGGCACTAAATTCATATCTCTCAATAGTTACCCTGAATGTTAATGGGCTAAATGCCCCAATCCAAAGACACAGGGTATCAGAATGGATAAAAAAGCAAAACCCATCTATATGTTGCCTACAAGAAACTCATTTTAAGCCCGAAGACCCCTCCAGATTTAAGGTGAGGGGGTGGAAAAGAATTTACCATGCTAATGGACACCAGAAGAAAGCAGGAGTGGCAATCCTTATATCAGATCAATTAGATTTTAAGCCAAAGACTATAAAAAGAGATGAGGAAGGACACTATATCATACTCAAAGGATCTGTCCAACAAGAAGATCTAACAATTTTAAATATCTATGCCCCTAGCGTGGGAGCAGCCAACTATATAAACCAATTAATAACAAAATCAAAGAAACACATCAACAATAATACAATAATAGTAGGGGACTTTAACACTCCCCTCACTGAAATGGACATATCATCCAAGCAAAAGATCAACAAGGAAATAAAGGCCTTAAATGACACACTGACCAGATGGACATCACAGATATATTCAGAACATTTCATCCCAAAGCAACAGAATACACATAATTCTCTAGTGCACATGGAACATTCTCCAGAATAGATCACATCCTGGGTCCTAAATCAGGTCTCAACCGGTATCAAAAGATTGGGATCATTCCCTGCATATTTTCAGACCACAATGCTCTGAAGCTAGAACTCAATCACAAGAGGAAATTTGGAAAAAACCCAAATACGTGGAGACTAAACAGCATCCTTCTAAAGAATGAATGGGTCAACCAGGAAATTAAAGAAGAATTGAAAAAATTAATGGAAACAAATGATAATGAAAACACAACAGTTCAAAATCTGGGGGACACAACAAAGGCAGTCCTGAGAGGACAATATATAGCGGTACAAGCCTTTCTCAAGAAACAAGAGAGGTCTCAGGTACACAACCTAACCCTACACCTAAAGGAGCTAGAGAAAGAACAAGAAATAAAGCCTAAACCCAGCAGGAGAAGAGAAATCATAAAGATCAGAGCAGAAATCAATGAAATAGAAACCAAAAAAACAATAGAACAAATCAACGAAACTAGGAGCTGGTTCTTTGAAAGAATTAATAAGATTGATAAACCCCTGGCCAGACTTATCAAAAAGAAAAGAGAAAGGACCCAAATAAATAAAATCATGAAGGAAAGAGGAGAGATCACAACCAACACCAAAGAAATACAAACAATTATAAGAACGTACTATGAGCAACTCTACGCCAACAAATTTGACAATCTGGAAGAAATGGATGCATTCCTAGAGACATATAAACTACCACAGCTGGACCAGGAAGAAATAGAAAGCCTGAACAGACCCATAACCAGTAAGAAGATTGAAACAGTCATCAAAAATCTCCAAACAAACAAAAGCCCAGGGCCAGACGGCTTCCCGGGGGAATTCTACCAAACATTTAAAGAAGAACTAATTCCTATTCTCCTGAAACTGTTCCAAGAAATAGAAATGAAAGGAAAACTTCCAAACTCATTTTATGAGGCCAGCATCACCTCGATCCCAAAACCAGACAAGGATCCCATCAAAAATGAGAACTACAGACCAATATCCTTGATGAACACAGATGCAAAAATTCTCACCAAAATACTAGCCAGTAGGATTCAACAGTACATTAAAAGGATTATTCATCATGACCAAGTGGGATTTATTCCAGGGCTGCAAGGTTGGTTCAACATCTGCAAATCAATCAATGTGATACAACACATTAATAAAAGAAAGAACAAGAACCATATGATACTCTCAATAGATGCTGAAAAAGCATTTGACAAAGTACAGCATCCCTTCCTGATCAAAACTCTTCAAAGTGTAGGGATAGAGGGCACATACCTCAATATTATCAAAGCCATCTATGAAAAACCCACCGCAAATATCATTCTCAATGGAGAAAAACTGAAAGCTTTTCCGCTAAGGTCAGGAACACGGCAGGGATGTCCGTTATCACCACTGCTATTCAACATAGTACTAGAAGTCCTAGCCTCAGCAATCAGACAACAAAAGGAAGTTAAAGGCATCCAAATCGGCAAAGAAGAAGTCAAACTATCACTCTTCGTAGATGATATGATACTATATGTGGAAAACCCAAAAGACTCCACTCCAAAACTGCTAGAACTCGTACAGGAATTCAGTAAAAAGTGTCAGGATTTAAAATCAGTGCACAGAAATCAGTTGCATTTCTCTACACCAACAACAAGACAGAAGAAAGAGAAATTAAGGAGTCAATCCCATTTACAATTGCACCCAAAACTATAAGATACCTAGGAATAAACCTAACCAAAGAGACTAAGAATCTATACACAGAAAACTATAAAGTACTCATGAAAGAAATTGAGGAAGACACAAAGAAATGGAAAAATGTTCCATGCTCCTGGATTGGAAGAATAAATATTGTGAAAATGTCTATGCTACCTAAAGCAATCTACACATTTAATGCAATTCCTATCAAAGTACCATCCACTTTTTTCAAAGAAATGGAACAAATAATCCTAAAATTTATATGGAACCAGAAAAGACCTCGAATAGCCAAAGGAATATTGAAAAAGAAAGCCAAAGTTGGTGGCATCACAATTCCGGACTTCAAGCTCTATTACAAAGCTGTCATCATCAAGACAGCATGGTACTGGCACAAAAACAGACACATAGATCAATGGAACAGAATAGAGAGCCCAGAAATAGACCCTCAACTCTATGGTCAACTAATCTTCGACAAAGCAGGAAAGAATGTCCAATGGAAAAAAGACAGTCTCTTCAATAAATGGTGTTGGGAAAATTGGACAGCCACATGCAGAAAAATGAAATTAGACCATTTCCTTACACCACACACCAAAATAGACTCAAAATGGATGAAGGACCTCAATGTGAGAAAGGAATCCATCCAAATCCTTGAGGAGAACACAGGCAGCAACCTCTTCGACCTCAGCCGCAGCAACGTCTTCCTAGGAACATCGCCAAAGGCAGGGGAAGCAAGGGCAAAAATGAACTATTGGGATTTCATCAAGATCAAAAGCTTTTGCACAGCAAAGGAAACAGTTAACAAAACCAAAAGACAACTGACAGAATGGGAGAAGATATTTGCAAATGACATATCAGATAAAGGGCTGGTGTCCAAAATCTATAAAGAACTTAGCAAACTCAACACCCAAAGAACAAATAATCCAATCAAGAAATGGGCAGAAGACATGAACAGACATTTCTGCAAAGAAGACATCCAGATGGCCAACAGACACATGAAAAAGTGCTCCACATCACTCGGCATCAGGGAAATACAAATCAAAACCACAATGAGATATCACCTCACACCAGTCAGAATGGCTAAAATTAACAAGTCAGGAAATGACAGATGCTGTCGAGGATGTGGAGAAAGGGGAACCCTCCTACACTGTTGGTGGGAATGCAAGCTGGTGCAACCACTCTGGAAAACAGCATGGAGGTTCCTCAAAATGTTTAAAATAGAACTACTCTATGACCCAGCAATTGCACTGCTGGGTATTTACCCTAAAGATAGAAACGTAGTGATCCGAAGGGGCATGTGCCTGAATGTTTATACCAGCAATGTCTACAATAGCCAAACTATGGAAAGAACCTAGATGTCCATCAACAACAAATGGATAAAGAAGATGTGGTATATATACACAATGGAATACTATGCAGCCATCAAAAGAAATGAAATCTTGCCATTTGCGACGACGTGGATGGAACTAGAGGGTATCATGCTTAGCGAAATAAGTCAGTCGGAGAAAGACAACTATCATATGATCTCCCTGATATGAGGGAGAGGAGATGCAACATGGGGGGTTAAGGGGGTAGGAGAAAAGTAAATGAAACAAGATGGGATTGGGAGGGAGACAAACCATAAGTGACTCTTAATCTCACAAAACAAACTGAGAGTTGATGAGGGGCGGGGGGTTGGGAGGGGTGGTTGGCTTATGGACATTAGGGAGGGTATGTGCTATGGTGAGTGCTGTTAAGTGTGTAAACCTGGCGATTCACAGACCTGTACCCCTGGGGATAAAAATATATTATATGTTTATAAAAAATAAAATTTAAAAAAAAAGAAAATATAATAAAAAAAAATAAAATATTTTTTATATTATCCCAAATTAAAATTTAAGAATGCAGAGTTTAAAAAAAATGAAATTTAGATTTACTTATCATGACTTATATTTTCCTGGATCCATTATTATTATTCTTAGTAGTCACCTCTGCACTTGCTAAAGGCTCAAAATCAGCTGTTTAATAATCTTTTCCAGAATTCCCTAATATATACATCTAATTTCTCTACTTCTAAAGTCTGCTTTTGGGGCACCTGGGTGGCTCAGTCAGTTAAATGGCTGCCTTCATCTCAAGTCATGATCCCAGGATCCTGGGATCAAGCCCCACATCTGGCTCCCTTCTCAGTAGAGAACCTGCTTCTCCCTCTCCCTCTGCCTGCCACTCTGCCTTCTTGTGCTCTCTCTCTGTCAAATAAATAAAATCTTTAAAAAATAAATTCTGCTTTTTTTGTGTGTTTTGAAAATAAGCCCAGGGGCACCTGGTAGCCGGTCATGATTTCAGTGTCATGAGATCAAAGCCCAGGTTGGAGCCCCATGTTAGGCTTGGTGCTAGGCTTGGAGCCGGCTTGGGATTCTCCCCTCTACCCTCAGACATGCACCCATTCTCTTGCTCTCTCTCTCTCAGAAAATAAATATAATGAAAACAAGCCATTGCAATAATTGCCTCTTCATAGCACTCTAGTAAATTTTTCCATTCTGTACATTTCCTCCAACAAGATAGTGGGGTTTCACATCATGCTTCTTCAGTCCTCTGGGATGCATACACTGTCTTCCTATTCTTTTTTATTCATGTTGATGAAGCACTTGTTTAATTTGAGGATCTTTCCCCTTCATTCAACAAGTATTTCTGAATGCTTGCTATGTATCAGGCACTGTTCTAGGCACTTGGGATAGGAAGTGTCTGTTTTTCTGGCACTAACAGTCTCTGGTAGAATAGGAACTAAATAGTCCTGCTCTTTTCCAGTCGAATAACATGAACATATTCCTTGTTTGGGTTTTTTTTTTTTTTTTTCTTTCTCTGGACGTAGCCTAAAGAAACCTTATTAATTGATCTTAATATCTTTCTCAAATCTCAGTTCTTTACTAGTAAAAGCCTTTCTAACATTTCTCCCAGATTTACACATGCTTTTGTATTCTACCCATATGTGCCCCTCTTCTTGTCTTTTTTTTTAACTCTTTCATTTTAAAAAAGGTTTATCATAGGGCTTTTTATATACATTAATTCCTTTAGCAGAACTGCTTGTTGTTTATTCATTCAGCAAAGATTTGTTGAGTCCCTACTCTGCTGATATTGTACTTACAAGTGTTTTTGAGAAACTTCCTTCTTGAACTTTCTTACCCCTGTCTTGTCAGGGAGTTAGTTATATTTTCTTCAAACTTTTTGAAATCTGCTTTCATTGTAGGTCAGGGTGTGGGTACTTTACAATTTCTTTTCTTTGTGTATTAAAAGAAATTAAGGCGACAGACTACTTTCTCTTAAAGGTCTTGTCATTTCCCATCTTTTTTATTGAGTCTGAAAAAAACAGTGCTTCTTTCAAAAGGGTTGTATGGAATTAATTGTCCTTAAGAAATTCTCCTAGTTTAGTGTTTTTCTGATAATTGGGGTTTAGATTATTGATGCACATTTTCTAATTTAAATGAATGTGATTCCTGATCTATGTTATTGAGATTGTGATTTTTTTTCTTTTGCAGCTCATTTGATCCCTTCCAACTGATACCTTGTAATTTTTTCAGTGAAGAAAAGAAGGTACTAATATGCATCAGTGAATAGTCATAAATAATGCCCCGTTAGACACGAAGTATTTATTTTTCTGTTTGTGCAAGGTATATATATGCATATGAAAGATTGGACAAGGCAAGGTGCATTAAGGGTCAAATGAGTGATACAGATGGGAAATGAAAGAGTATTTCTTCATGCTAGGATTTTGAATGATAATATTTTAAAAATCTCTTGTCTGTGCTGAGCCTTGGTTGAGGATGAGAACTTGGTGTGACATGTGAAGGAGGAAAGGGTGGACATTCCAGAGGAAGAACAAAATCTCTATTTTTATGCTCCCCCTTTTTTTTTTTTTTTTTTTATATTTCAGGAGCCATTTCAGGTGAAAGTGGCTTCAGAAGCACTTTTAATAATGGATTTGGTAAGGATAATCTATTGTGTTTACTTACTCTGATTTCTATTCTTGTGTATTTTTATTGCAGGCTTAAGAGAGAGTATGGAAGACGTGTATTTTGGATCTTAACTATCCTCTTTTACAAGGAATCTAAAAATAAGTCTTTTCTTTTGGAGAAAAGCCAAACAATTGCATGTTTCCATATTTTAGAGAAAATAAATTAATGTGAGTTTTGCAGACTGTTTATCATCATTAACCCTATATTCATTTCCTGGTATCCTTTGTCTGCGGCCTTCTAGAGAACTGCGACAAACCACAACTCCTACAGTTTGGAGGCTCCTTGTTGGCACTAAATTCCAGAGACCTCCAATAGTTGTGTTTGTTTCGGGCGTTTTTCTGTAAGAGGACCCAGAGTGATTTTTTTACTTTGTGTCCTTATGATACCTTTTCTGAGTAAGGAAAACAAATGGTATCTTTATTTTGTAAATTTAAAAATAGCATCTTGGAGTGTTTGAATATTTGGTTCAAAGCTTCTCAGCTGGCAGTGAAGATAAATCTGAAATCCTAAATTTCTTTGCACTGAGCCTAGCATCTGATTCCTCTGCTATGGTACTGGATTTGAAAAGCATAGTTACCATACTTGTAAATGAGTCTCTTGTAATAAGTAAGTTTTACTCTGATTTTTTGTCAGATGGACTTGTATGTTTGGGCTAAGTCTGTTTTGTATTTCTTTTTAGCATGCTCATGTTTCTATGGCAGAAGTGATTGGTCTGTTAGGAGGAAGATACTCAGAAGTTGATAAAATAGTTGAAGTAAGTTCTCTCTGTAAAAAAATTTCTTTAATTATTTAGTACTGCTACCATACCAAATATTTTTCTAGATTTCAGTGGATATAATTAAAATATAGACTTTTACCTGTGATGGAAATGAGACTATGCAAATGGAGGTTAGATAATTCCCAGGAGTAAACTAACATTCTGTATATTGAGTACCTGTTTCCTTTTACCATTGAGAAAGGGCGCACTGCCAGCCAGGCCTCCTCATTGCTTTCACCAATAAAAAGCTACAACTACTTTAAAAGGCCAGGAAACATGCACCAACCCTATAGTTTAAACTTGGTGTGCATGATTCTGTTGCAATTATTATCGTAAATAATGGGAGTCATTGAAAGACTGTATTTGTCAGATATTATATGGGCTAACTTGGAAAACTAACAATTATTATTAGGCCTTGTTTGAGTAGAAAAATGGATTCTGAGTTCCTGCATACAATCTACTTTTGGTGTCATTTATTTGCAAGTTAAAGGCTGCCTGTGATACTGTTAATTACTTTCATTGGCTTAAAAAAGTTTCTGTATCACATATGAAGAACTAAAACTTTAATAGAATTAACAGGATTTCAGTATAACTGTATGGGATTAATCTCTTATAGGTCTGTGCAGCAGAGCCATGTAACAGTCTGAGTACAGGACTACAGTGTGAGATGGATCCTGTCTCGCAAACACAGGCCTCAGAGACCTTGGCTGTGAGAGGCTATAGTGTTATTGGATGGTATCATTCCCATCCTGCCTTTGATCCAAATCCTTCCTTACGAGATATTGACACTCAAGCCAAATACCAGGTGGGCCTCTAGGTCTCATGTGTATGTTGTGTGTAAATAATTGTACTTTTTCTCCTCCCTCATTGCTTTCTACTAAATAAATGTATTTTTAACATTTCTAGCAGAGTGTTGGCATTTCTAATATTATTTACATCTGGAGTTTTGAAATAACTGCATTTTTTCTGATCTAAACATCTGGGAAATCAGCTATTTTGTTTAGCCCAGACAAACCATCTAAGTAACAGTAATAAGTACTCTTGAGAGCCTTTAAAAATTGATGGGAACAGGGCACCTGAGTGACTCAATGGTTAAGCGTCTGGCTTTTCATTTTGGCTCAGGTCATGATCTCAAGGTCATGAGATTGAGCCCCACGTCAGGCTCCGCACTCAACATGGAGTCTGCTCGAGATTCTTTCCCTCTTGCTGCCCCTCCCCCTCTCCTGCTCATGCTCTCTCTCAAATAAAAATAATATCTTAAAAAAAAAATTGATGGGAACAACTAGGATAGGGACTGGGTATACGAGTGAATTTTGCATCTCTGGAAAAAAATGAAGTTTTGTTTTATTCTGATAGTTTATGTTACATGGGTGAATGCTTTTGCTATAGGCTGCTGTTAATAAATTATTACCATATTGATAAAAATTATAGTTGAAGCGTAGTGTTAATAATTTGTAAACATGTTCATGATACAGATTTTGCAGGCCATGTGAACTGTATAAGGGTCATTTCTGCTTGGGTTGAGCACATTTTGACCTGAAAAATTTAGAGTGTGGAATGATACATATTTCATTTAGTTGCTATTTGGATGTGAGGTTTTTAACACACTTTTTGTTCCTTTTTCCTCCATTAGGTGTTTAAGATGTTGGTATGGGTAAATACTGATTTTTAAATTTATGCAATCAAGACTAATTATGTTTTTCTTTTCATTGTAGAGTTACTTCTCCAGAGGTGGTGCAAAATTCATTGGAATGATCGTTAGTCCTTATAATCAAAACAATCCTTTACCTTATTCCCAGATTACCTGCCTGGTTATAAGTGACGAAATTAGCTCAGATGGCTCTTACCGTAAGTTTTCAACAAAGACAACTTCACCCTATTCCTGCCTTGATTTCTTTGAATCTTATATATCAAAGAATTTACAACTATGTGAAACTATGTGACGGAAAACTTTGTACCCTCAAATAGGGAATCAGTGTTTGCACACCATCTAGTGCAGTTATCCTCTTACCTTTGGTGACCTTCTTCTAGATTCAAGCCCCTACTGTATTACCATGACCACTGGGCAAAAGGATTACAGTGTGGAGAAGAGCTTGGGCCGAGCAATGTCCGTGTTAAGTACAGGCCTACCTCCGAGATATTGCAGGTTTGGCTCCAGACCACCACTAGAGTAAATATCACAGTAAAGTTAGATGAATTTTTCGGTTTTCCAGTGCATATAAAAGTTATGTTTACTTTGTCCTGTGGTTTATTAAGTGTGAGGTAACATCATGTCTAAAAAATGACATACATACTTTAGTGAAAAAGTACTTTTTACTAAAAAACGCTAACCAGTATCTGATCTTTCAAGGAGTCAGTCAGTAATCACAAATCACCATAACAAACAAAAATATTTTGATATTGCAAGAATTACCAAATGTGACACACAGACATGAAGTCAGCAAATACTATTGGAAAAATGTTGCTGATAGACGTGCTTGACCATAGGTTTGCCACAGACCTTCAGTTCCTGAAAAACACAGTAACTATGAAATGAAGTGCAGTAAAACGAAGCATAATAGCCTGAGGTATGCCTGTACTAGAGATACTGCTTTAAGCAAAATACACAAAGTCTCTGTTCTCGGGAAATTTCTTATGAACGCAGACTGGCTTTCTCTGCAATGGCATTTGAATGGGAAAAACAAAGAGAAATGACCACACTGTCACCTGCTCTCCATGGCCTCTCAGTTTTAGGCTTAACAGTGTCAACTGGTTTCCTTCTCTTAGTTTCCATTCTGTCCCAAAAAAGAATGTGCTGGGCTTAGCCCATCACATGATTTGGTTCCTTTGGGAATTGTGTTCACTTGTGGTCCAGTCAGCTCTGGCTTGGCAGGGAATTGGTGTGGCAGACTGGGTAAAGGAGGGGAATGGAAGAAGCGAGTGTGTACAGAAAGGAAAAGACTAGAAGAGACAGTGACATCTGTAGGATGCTTATTCTCTATTCTCTATCTTTACCACTGCTGCTCTGAGAGTTCACTGTCCTCTTGATGCTGTCACTGCACATCGTACTCGGGTTCCCATTAGCTCATGAGCTCCTTAAAGGTAGATGTGATATTACACTCGTTTTTCTATCCTCTGTCTCTAGCACAAGGCCTGGCATAAAGTAGGTACTGAGTGAATGTTTGTTTAACAAATTAATGTCATTGTTTTCCATGTTGTCACTTAGATGCCATCTCTTTGGCAAAGACCCTCACGTCATTGCAATTAGTTGCTCTGTTCTTTGTAACCTGCACAACTGCAACACTTATTTCCTGCCTTCATGGTGCTTTTATCTTTTAATGTATCTATTTAGCATGTCTCTCTAAAATGTGAACCTCAAATAGCCCACACTGCCTTCATCTCTGTAACCCACCAGCATGTAATCAATTGCCTTGCATCTAGGAAGTGGTCACCTGGTTTTTAGCTCTGCTAGTTTTTATTGAACAAATAGTATTGACACTAACTTCAGTCCAAAATGCCCATTTTGAACATAGCACATGTATATAACATTCTTTAGCCCAATTTATAAAATTTTATAAAAAGTTAATTTTATAAAAAGTTATAAAAGGAGTAATCACAGTTACCTCATTCTCAATTTACGTCATTTTTTTAATCTCACGGCCCGCTAGATTTAGGGAGTGAGCCTGTATTCTGATGCTCTCAGAGTATTACAGAGAATACAAATAGCTACAAGCTACATAAGACTACAAATTAATTAGAATTCAATGAAATTTAAAATTTAGGTCCTAGAAATTTGCTTCTGGCCCAAAGGAAGTAACAAAAGACCTATCTAAAATAGCCACAAAACCGGACAAATATATAAGACAGTGATGTTTAGATCATAACATCAGGCAGTGAGGGGTTATGATTGCTGAGAGATGGAAAACAAATGAGGGGAGCCCTGAATTAGCTTACCAACTTAACAGAGTTTCCAGATATGACACAAGGAGGAGAACCCTACCGAGAGGCGGCAGACTGAGTTGAGGTGACAGAGGGGAGACAAATGCAGCTAAACTGTACCAGAGAGTGGAAACCTACATGGAGAGCCCAACTCTGGAGATTTGTAGAAGGTACAGATTTAATATTTGAGAGAAATACAGACCAGTGCATGGGAGAAAGAAAGTACCCCAGGCAGGGGCAGGGAACACTTGAAAGGATGAGAGGGGACAGTACTTGATGCTCTCACGAGCTGCCAGTGCACAACAAACAGTATTCAACATTATCATTATCGCAGGAAAGTTCTTTTGGGCAGAGCTGTCTCTTAAATGCCTCTTAACACTGCTTAGTAGGTCTTAATCCTAGGTTCTTCACTTTGCTCTTCTTGGAAACATTCTGGTTCACAAATTAAAGTTTTCTAGAAGCCATAGGATACCTTGTGTTACTTTTAAGTTAAAGTACTTTTTACTTAGGTTCTCTCTTCCTTGCCTGTCCTGTCTTGTCCATTCTTTTTTCCTTTTAGGTATATACCCAAATTCTATCTTTAAAATGTCTCTAATGGATAAGCATTTTCTGTACTTGTAATAGGCAGGTAATATACTTAATGATTAGTGTTCTGATATTTTAATGACTTAAAAATATTCAGTACAAAAGGAAATTTTTACTGCTTTTAGTGCCACTTTTTTAACTTAGAAAAGTATTCTTACTGCCAGACAGAGCTGTATGGTACGTGTGCACTTGCGTGTGTGTGTGTGTTTTCATGGTTTTCCACCAGCACAGACTGAAAACACATTACTTTTTATTCTTACATTTGACTTTCATTGAGAATAGGAGTTGCTTGCCTGGATTCATACCCCAGCTCTGACATTTACTGGTTATTTTATTTTGGGCAGAATACTTAGCCTCTCTCATTCCCCTTCCCCACATCTATAAAATGAGAAAAAATTACTACCTTGCTGGGGCATCTGGGTGGCTTAGTCAGTTCAGCATCTGCCTTCAGCTCAGGTCATGATCTCAGAGTCCTGGGATTGAGGCCTGTGTCATCATCACCACACTCAGCAGGAAGTCTGCTTCTGCCATCTTTAAAAAAATTACTACCTTGCCTACAGTGGAGTTGGAAAAACTGCTGGTAATATATGTCAGGTGCTTAGCAAATAATAGATCTTCACTAGGTAGTTGTGATTATACTGTTGTCTGTGCTTATTAAGTAATCGAGCATATCAAGTAAATTATAGGCATCACCAAAAGGAGTTTGCTTAATAGCTTGTGTTCTGTGATGTGTCACTCTCCTAAGTTTTTGGAGGGAAAAAGTAAAACGGAGGAGAATTGAAATGTGAAAAAAAAAAAAAATCCACCTGAAAAAACTGGGGTAAAGGCCTTTTTAGAACATATTGACAAAGTATGCTTATATTGTAAGGAAGTATAGTCGTGATGTTTTTTCCTTTCATTTTTTTTTCATGCCTTCTGATTTGCTGGCATTGTATTTACTCAAAAAGCCTTATATTGACAGAAACTTAGTTGAGAGGCAGTATATTGTAAAGTTAATAAGAGAAACTCGAGCCACACTGCCTGGGTTTAGATCCTGACTCTGCTTCTTTGTAATTATATATATGCTAATGAACAGGTTATGTTTGTATTTTGGGAACAGTACTGGTAGCTGGTTCACCTAAGTGGCCTTACATATGTGAAGCACCTTAAGCCTGTCATGTAGTAAGCATTATGTAAGTTTTACTATTATTTTTATGGTATTGACTTCTGGTAATGAATCGCTGAGCTTTTCTTTTAATACACGGCAAATAAAGTTACCGGGGGATTTTGAAGGTTATGTGAGAGATTTCCAAGTAGGCTCATCCGTGATACTTTTCTCTTCTAGCTGTGTGCATGGTATCCACCCCTTGGGCTCCTCTCCTCCAGAGTTTAGCTTGACAGAGAAGTGCAATTGCTGCTTCTCCAGAGTTAGCCCTATTCCCTGGCTTGTGTTAGATGAGCACCTATAGGGAGGTGAAGTGAATGTGGACTCAGAAGCCAGGCAGACTTGCTGGGGCTTAAAATCCAGCCTCTTCCACTTCACTAGCCTAAACAGGTTGTTTCACTGGTCTCAGCCTCAGCTTCTTTGTCTGTTAAATAGGAGTAATGCTGCCTACCTTATAGCATTGCTGTAAGCTTAACCTGTGTAAAAATACAGATCATTGGGATGGGACATGTCTTGTTTAGCTTAGCTAAATGTCATTTTAAGCCTGTGGTTCTGGCACAGTTTTTAACAATGCCCCCTTTCACTCAGAAGGTCGCCTGGCTTGGATATAAATTATGTGATCATCCTGCCTCTCAGTTCCTTACATATAATTGTCATGCAAATGGTACTTTTACTTTTCTTTATTATTATTAATTGCTTGGCATTAATGTGCTTGATGGACCAGGTTCAGCCAGGCAGTAAATATTTAATGAATGCCCACTATGTTTAAAGTGCTGTTTAGCTGGTGTGCCAAGTTGGAAGGGTGAGGATTTTAGGTAATTAAAAGGAGATTGGGGATTTAAGAAATAGTTGATGACAGTCTGCTTCTTTATGCTTTTCTAGGGTTACCTTACAAATTTGAAGTACAGCAGATGCTGGAAGAACCTCAGTGGGGATTAGTGTTTGAAAAGACAAGATGGATAATAGAAAAATATCGGCTCTCCCATAGGTATGTACTGTGGTTTGAGATGTTGCACATCTGCAGTGTTTCTCATTAAATTAGGTTTCAGAGAAAGCCCAAGTTAAATATAAAATTATGATATATGGCATCAGTGACAGTTTATTACAAAACTGATTAGTTTATGGTATTTGTTTCATCAGTCTGTCTTCATATTTCTTCCAACAGCAGTGTCCCTATGGATAAAATCTTTCGCCGGGATTCTGACCTGACTTGTTTGCAGAAAGTAAGCTGCCTTCATTTTAATTGGTTCTATTGTTCATAGATTCTAAAGCTATTCATCTTGATGTGTTTTCCCATGATGCCAAATGCTTTGTGGATACATTTTCTCTGTGTTTTTTTTATTGCTTTTTCCTTTCAGAAATTAATTTCTAAGAGATAATTAGTAATGCGTTTTGTTGCACACACTTGCATATAGAAATAATACTATTTTAGAATAAATTTGTCTGTACTAGCCGATTAATTTCTTAGCAGATTAATGTACACAGTGGAGAACATTTTTCTCATTTCATTAAACTCAAAAGCACCACGTTTCCATTTAGGTTTAACAATTGATCATTTTCAGTAATAGTAATATAAATCTAATAATTACATTTAGGTGGTCATTTTATTTAACTTTCTGGTAAATAGTAAGAGTCCTTAATTCTTTCGTTTCACTTTTTGTTTCCATATGTATAGTTAAAGATCAGTATGGCAACACCTTTTTTTTTCTTGGTAGCAATTTAAGAAGAGAAAACCTAAACATACTAAGTTTCTTTTTAATATTTTTTACCCCCTTCTATTAAGGCCACTTTGTTCTGTTGGAAGATTAATATGCATATTTTTTAGGAAACAGACTCTAGTACCCTAATTTTGAAATTGTAGAGTCCTTTGTATGCACACAGATTTTTATTCTACAGGATTATTTTGTTTGGTAAATGTAACTACTAAAAAAAAAGGTCACAAATTTGTCCAAAGTAGAAGGTACCACACTTAAAATCTCAGGTTTGTCTCCTTTTATGAAATCATAAAGGAACTAGCCTAAGCATTTCTCCTACACTCTTACACTCTGGCTGTATGATTATTGATCATAAATTTATCACCAACCATGTTTAAAGAGACTATTTCTCATTTGCGCATTAGAAAATGTGAGATTTGGAAAGAGATACAACAATGATAGTAATGCAAACCCTCTTATGCTTTTTTGTGTTTTAAATATAAAATTTTCTTTTCAACTAGCTTTTGGAGTGTCTGAGGAAAACTCTGAGCAAAGTGACTAATTGCTTCATTGCTGAAGAATTCTTAACTCAAATAGAAAATTTATTCCTTTCCAATTATAAAAGCAAGCAAGACAATGGAGGGACTGAAGAGAACTGTGCTGTGGTCCAAAGGAATTGTTAATGTAATTATTTTAAAGGAAGACCTTCTGATTTCGACATCCTTCTTTGCAAGTAATAACCTTGAAAGTATTGTAACTCAGCTAATGGTGGCACAACTTTAATATTTTTTCTCTAGTCATCAAAATCCAAACTTTCCCACATAAATCCTGTGACACTTGTTTTCACACAGCGGTTATCAGAGTGCGGTGTGAAGCAGGGTGTGCCACAGTCTGCAGTCCCACCATGGCCGGCAGGTGCTGCAGGGAACTCTGAAGGGCTGTCTGCTTTACTGCTGTATTCAGGTTGATAAATGCAATGTGTCTCTAGTATTTATTTCTCCCCAAACTAGTCATTCCACTTTTGGTACCTCGTGTCTGTGTCTCATTAGGAGCACCTCCATTTTTGCCATGTCTTCTGGTGAGATTTTGTCTCTGGTTGCAAACAAAATGTGGATGGATGGTCACTGAGGTAATGAACTTGGATGAGAACTAGTGGCACAGGAAATCTAACAACACGCTGCAGGAGGCCAAAGTCTAACATAGAGAAGAGACCAACGGAGAGAATCAGATTGCCGGTTTTTCAGTTATAGATCTTTGTTTCCATTTTACTTTATAGCAATAATACTAGAGGCTGTGCCATTGTCTCAGCTAGCTGAAACATTTAATATGGATTTCAGATACATAAAATAATTAGCTTCAACTCTATGTCCACTTGCTATGTGTGATAAAACCTCATTTAATCGAAATACAGATAATCATAATTCTCAAACTAGATTTTCTACTACCTACTATCAGGAGAAAGAGGCAGATTTTAATAATGCTTAAATATTAAATCGGAGACTTAATTTTAAAAAGAAGAAAACCTTCTAGGACATACTACATACCTAGTCCGGTTTCATATATTTTCTAAATCTAGAACAGATGTCAGCAAAACTTTTTATGTAAAGGGACAGTTAGACAAAAACTTAGGCTTTGCAGGTCATATACTGTCTCTATCAGACATTCTTTTTTATTTTTTTTTTTACAGTCCCTAAAAAATGTAAAGCCATTCTTATTACTTCCTGAGCCTCACAGAGAATGGGTTGCTGGCCTTTATCTTCCAGTCCCCGCTCTAGAGAATTATAAAAATTTGTAATTTATTTTCAGGTATGTGAACTTGAGACACTGAAAGACCTTATTTACGTCATCTTCAAACAACAACAAACTTAGAATTATGATTTACATTTAAATATATTTTCAAGTAAAATTAGAAATCGTGCTGCCTCATTTGCACAGATTTGAGTTTATTTCTGTGAGCCATAGAACGGTTTATACCCAGTCTCCAAGCACTCTTACTAGTAAACAGTTTACACCTTATCTGGATATGGTTCTGTATTTTTACCTTTTTTGGTTGTAATCATTAGCCATGGAAGAATATGGCAGTGTTTGAGGGAGCAGTGAACCAGTTCTAGATGGCCTGCCTATGTCTTGACTCAACCCTGTGACTTCATGGTGGTGGAGTGGGGGGCATAGGGAATATAAGCTGACTTCTGTCTAAATTCTTGTGCACCTGAGGGCTAAGTTATCTTCCTGACAACCTTCCAGGTCTAAAATGCATTTCTCTATATGTAGGTAGGATAAACAATGAAACATAACTTATAACACAGTTACCTTTACGACTGGGGGAGGTAAGAGCTGCAGACCAAACATTGGGAAACCGGAGTCTTCATCCTAATTCTATTACCAACTTCCCTCTGTGGCAGAGATAATGTCATATAATCTGTCTGGGCCCCAGGCTCTTCACCTATATAATCCATGGGTCTAAATTTTATGGCTTTGTTTCTCCTTCCAAATACAGAAGGTCTGCAATTCTGTGAAAGGTAGTAATTGATTCCTTGGTACTCTTCCTTTTGACACGTTTTTCTCATTGTATGTGTGGCACACATCCTAGAAGTTGGTATGAAATAGCTCTCTTGATTGACATTTCCCTGCAATTTTGATTAATTTCAGTGATGGAAAATAATGGAAATTTCTAAAAATTCTGTTTTCCAATCTGGGTCCCCTGCATGCCAGTAGTTAAGATATTTACTAACCTAAGCCATACAGTGAGGAACTCAAAGATGGTAATCCTCAGAGGTTACAGTTTGGAGAGCACAATTTTATAAGCAATACTGAGTATTTTTTTTTCTGATGCTAGAGTATGTTTATCTCAAAATATTTTTTTAAAAAACAAACATAAAAATATAAATCCTATTATCTGGAAAACCACAGGTAATATTTTAGTATAAATTCTTCCCCCTTTTTTCCCTTGGGCTATGTCATTTATTTTAAAGATTTTATTTACTTACTTGAGAGAGAGAGCAAACTCGAGAACATGAACGGGGGATGGGGGTGCAGAGGGAGAAGCAGACTGCCTGCTGGGGAGTGCTGAGATCATAACCTGAACCCAAAGAAGTCGCTTAACCACCTGAACCACCCAGGTGCCTCTGGACCTGGCAATTTTAGAATGTTAAAATTTGTGGTATTTTCTTCCTCTCCTCCCTTGTTCATTCTCTCTGTTTCCTCTTTTCTCTTAACATATTCTTAAAACATTTTTGCCACTGCAGGTGCCCACATTCCTGTCACTGCCAACTTGAGCTACTTAGGGTAGTCAGAGCCAGGACCTTGGAGAAGCACAGAAGTCTGGAACTGAGAGGCAGTGTAACATGGGAGGTTCAGGAGGCAGAGACCCAAAGAAAAACCTACCTTTGATAATGTTTACAGGAGTGGAGACAGGACCAGGAAACATCCAGATCTCTTAATCCTGATTTGATTCTTAAGATTGCACAATGATAATAAAATAATAAACTTAATTTTTTTTTTTCTTTTCCTGCTTGGCTGGTGGAATTTTACATTAGTACTTTTCTGATATCAGACTTAGCTCTTTTAAAAATCTAATCCCAAAGTAACATTCAAAAAAGAAAAACCAGTGAATAAAATCATCAAGATCAGACTGTCCTTACCCCTTCAGTATTTTATTCTTGAACTATTTCCAAAGTCACATTAGGTAGGACTTAGACACTTTTGCCTTCTTGGATGTCTTCCTCCAGAAAAAATTAAAAATTAATTCATTACAACTACATTTGTATAAAATGAGTCTAATATTGTACATAAACATGTCCTCAACCTAAAAGATTGTTTTTTTCCTTCTGAATATAAAAGAAATGAAAACATTTTTATTGGCCTTAAAAGTATTGGTGACTGCCGGCCTGGTATCTAATGGTGGCCCTGCCTGTATTCTGAAGGGTAGCGCTGGAAAGCCGGCAGTCGTAACCTTGACCCTGTATCACCTATCTCACAAACCCTAGGGTGGCTTTGCCACCCCAGCCATGAACGTTGAGCTCTAGACTTAGAGAATTTAGGAGTGTTGCTTAGAAGTAATCATCATCACGAGAAAGATAGGAGGCAGTGATTACTTTTAGCTTTCACGTAGATATGTTTGTTCTGACCTGCAATTTATAGTTTGAAACTCATGCCACATATACTACCACTCCTTTTCTTTCTTCATTTCCCTCAAGCCCCACTCCCTGTTTTCCCCCCAGTCCCTCTACTTACCTCTCAATACAGGTACAGGATGGTTCATTGAGCATTGGGTGACAGCAAGGCCGGAAGGATAGAGTTGACCAGATCCATTCGTATTTCATGGAAGCTAATTAGTGCTGCCCCAGCCTTCTCTCCAAAACTCACTTCCCCCACAGGAGCGGGGTGAGGTCGGTGATGTGGGCACTGAGCAGGGTCAGAACCTCTGCAGCTGTGTGGGCAGCGGGGCGGTGGCTGCCTTGACAAGCCAGCTTGAGCAGGCCTCCTGCTCTTCGGTTTGCCCTGTTTGTCTTGCTGGGGCCTGACGAGGTGCGCTGGAGGACTTGGGGGAAGTGCTGTAGGCAGGATGCTCCAGATTGATTATTCGCACAGGGACAAGGGGACCTGTGGACACCTGACCACCCGACATATAGCTCCCTAGCCTCGGGTCATCAACAGGCATTCAGTGGATGAGTTTCTTAGTAGGAATTAAGTAAGGGTACCCCACTTTTGAATTTTTTCGCCTACACGGTCCTCTACCAATAACAAGACACTGTTATAAGTCCAGATTCATACATCATGGCATTTGGGAAAACTTAACTTCACCCAAGCACAAAGGAAAAAGCACATTTTTAGCATCCTCTCTATCAGGATTAATATAAAATTTAACAAACTTGATCAGTATTCCCAGCTTACCAGCAGTTAAGAATTTTCTTACAGATTAATATCCTATTTTACAATATTTCCAGAAAATCACTGTGGAGAATAATGTCATATACTTTTACTCAAATCCTGACCTTTTCTCAAATGGTTTTATGTGTGCTGTTCTTCAAAACTCTCTTTTCTCTGTTTTGACATTTGCCCTGTAATTTGTGCTTTCAAGCGTTTTCTGAATCTTGTAGGCTACCTTAAATTCTTTCTGGAACAAGGCAGAGAATAAATATGTTAACCCCCTAAATCAGGAGAAAATAAAAATTTCCCAGAGAAGCTGTGATTATACCAGCAGTATACCAAACTAAATTCGAGAAGGTAAAATTAACTCATGATATCTGGGTTGTTTGTATTTTCTTCTTTTGAATATATTTATGAATATATTCATAAGAACTTTAATTTCAGGGAAAAATGCCTTATGTGCTTGCTATCTTTGAGGTTTCCTAGAGTAGTCTCTTAGGATTTAAGAGGAATGTTAAATATGATTTCATAGATTGTACTCCTGTTTCATAGGTTTACCATAGAACATTTGTTTTGAGCTATGAATTATAAAATAGTATTTAGAATCCAGCATGATTAAATAGACTGGTCATAGATCTTTAAATTTATGGATTTAATGTGTAAATTGTAAATTGTGTATTATGTATAAGTATCATATAAGTTTACTATGATTATTGATAAACCTGTTGGGCTGTTGTTTTCCCCAAATGTTATTAGTGTTTATGGATTTCTTTTATTACTTTGAATTTTGGAGTGTTCTGTAATGGAATATAATGACTTAAACTATTTTGTACATTTAAATATGATACCACATTGTCTAAATCTGTATTAAAGAACATTGTAAATATTAATGTTTATATAGCTTTGAAACCTTTTTCTTAAAGTGGTTGAACTCTTCTCCCTGTACTAAACAATGACATAAAATATCTGATTTTAAGCTTTGAGATTTTAGCTTGTGGTAACAACTAAAAGAAATCATTCTGAAGATTCTATATAAATAAAATTTTGGGAAAAAAGTGAATCATTTGGTCTCTTTCTAAAGTTTAAGCAGCATACACATTGAATTGCAAATATGCCTCATTAATTCAAACATTGGTTGAGTGTCTATTATGTTGAGAATTGTAGGGGGCACAAAGATGAGTAAATCTTGATTTCGTCCCACAAGAAACCCATTATCTAGTAAGTAGGTGGGAGATCCATAAAACCCAACCCAGGTAAGACACTAAGATACAAATTGGAATTCATTATAAATGCCTGTAAAAGACTTCAAGGGTAATAGGTGTTTGTTGTTGTTATTGTTTTTCTCTTAAAAGATTTTATTTTTTATTTATTTGAGAGCAAGAGAACGATCCCGGGACTCCAGGATCATGACCTGAGCCAAAGGCAGACACCTAGCCGGCTAAGCTATCCAGGCGCCCCGGTAATAGGTGTTAAGACAAATGAGAAATCATTCTCTAGAATGTGAGGGGTGAGACTGAGTTCTTGGAAGAGATCTACCTTTAAACATCCTAACAGGATTTGGTTAAGTGACGTTTGGGGAGAGATGTTCAAGAGAGAAGTGACCTTAGCACGGGTGTGGGGATGATGAGTGGGAAGTACTTAAGAATGGTGAGTCTTGGCCAGAGGGTAGAGTATATGTACACACTCATTAGGTAATTCACACTGAGTCAACTAAGGATGCAGAAGGTATAAGAGGAAAATCTCACCTTAAAATCAGAATTAACTCACTCACTGTCCTTCAACTTTCTAGTCTTTTTTCTTAGCATATACAAAGCTTGAAGGAGGACTTTTCTTCCATTCCAACCTGTCTGTACTATCTAATTGATGAAGTTGTTCTTTCCTACTTATCTCCTAACACAGGCGAAAGATCCTGTGGTCAAAGCATCCCATGATGGGGACAGAAACTACGCCTCAAATAATAGGGGCTGCCCTCACACCAGCAAGACCCCATGTGATTGACCCCAAGATAATGATCGATGTGACCCTTACTGCCCACCTGCTCGTACCGTACCATCCACTTTGCCCCATGTTTTCCTGATGGGCACCTAGAAGTATTTCAGCACTTCGGAGACAGACTTGGAGCCGCTAGTCCAAAGTCTCCCGGTGTTGGCCTCACTGAAATAACTCCTTTCTGGTTTCACCACCGCTCCTCTCTCTGCTTTGGATTTTGTCAGCGGTGAGTGGCTGAAACTGGTCTGTCTGGGACCCCAAGAGCCGGGGCTCTTGCACCCCTGCACCCCAGTTGCAATTTTTTAAAAGATTTTATGTTTGAGAGAGAGAGTGAGTGGGAGAGAGCACAAGTTGGGGGGCGGGGGTAGAGAAGCAGACTCCCCGCTGAGCAGGGAGCAGCATGTGGGGCTTGATCCAAGGACTGTAATCAGGTCCTGAGCCAAAGGCAGACGCTGAACTGAGCCACCCGGGCGCGCCCCAGCGGCAATTCTTGGCAAGCCAGCCAGGAGCTGTATTTTCCGTTTGCCCAGCCCCCTGGGCACTCCCTGTTGGAGCGGTGGGTCTGGGCAGCACCAGGGGCTCTGCTGTTTCCAGAGCCAGTGGCTGTGGTAGCTCAGAATCAGCTGCTCATGGTGACTCCACCCGGATGTGAGGACAGGTAGTCCTGGGCAGGGGCTGAAACCTGTTTTGTTGCAGGACTTTCCTGCTTGCCCTGAGCTGTACCGACTGCCTTCACTGCGTTTGGTGAAGCAGAGAAACGAGTTGAAGAATCCGTGGGCCCTAGACATTTGGCTCCTGGTAAGTCCCCCACTGGAACCCATCGTTCTTTGGTTCCCTGCTGTTGGTTTCTTTTGAACCATTTGGTTCGGGTTTCCGTAACCCATTTGTTCAGGCTGGCGTCTCCTGAGTTGTGGCAGGCGCTGATCTAATTTGTGAAGGAGTGGACGTGAGGGAAGCCAGGGTACGCATTTGGGGAGATCTCTGTTGGAGTGTGTGTGTATGTGTGTGTACAAGATGGGGGATGCTGACTACCCCCTCCCAAAGTCCTCTGGGGAGAGTACTGGCTAACTGGTCTACACTTGATTAGAACCCTGTGACTAAGGAGATGGTTTCTTTACTGCAACACTGCCTGACCCGTGCATGTGAAGCTCAGAGGAAGCATGGCCACTGCGTAGCTCTCTGGTATTCCTTCCTCTCATTCGGTTGCCTCCACATGGGTGGATGGGGAGGGCTGGTTTGGCTCTCTTAGTTTGACTACGAAGCCCTTGGGTTCAGTCGGTGAAGCTCTGACTTTCGGGGAAGAATGAATGCTAACAGAGGTACTCCGAGCTTCATTTAGTCATAATTGTGTGTCTTCCCTGCCCTTTCCGAACTTTTGCCCAGGAAGATGGGGAATACTTCTGTTCCCAAAGAAAGTGCATTAGGGCATATTTGAATAATTGGCGCAAAGGGCTGAAAATCACCCAGAGAAACAGCCTGTTTAGCAGGAGGGAGAAACAGGAGACAGAGACTAAGGAATGTCAGTCCAAACTTTGAACCCACCTCCAGCCTTGTCGGTGGCGCCCTTGCCCCTCCCCCCTCCCCGCCCCACCCCGCGTCTGCACCCCCACCCCCGCCTCACGTAGCTGGCTGGCTCCTACCATTGCTCCTGCTCCTACCATCACTACTGGGGAGCGAAAGCGTCCATCTCTTTATGAGGTTCTAACTGGAGCACCTCCCAATCAGCATGAAAGGGCCCAGGGACTCAGTGTGCCCACCTCAGATTGCCCCACAGGAACCCCAGGTAAAATTGACGGTGGGGAATAGATCGACACACACTGGACGCAGGTGTAATGTATCAGCATTAACGTTAACCTAAGTTTGCTGGTTTAATTAAAATAAGCATGTCTTTTGGAGTTACCAACATCGAATATAATACAGAGAATCAACTTCTCTTCTACCTGATCTAAATTCATGTTTTACCTGTTGCAATTTGACTTAAAATAATGGTTACTTCTGTCTGTTTCTTAAAGCTTTCATGGGTAATTGTTAAGAGCAAGTAGGTTGACTAAAAGGTTTATCACTTTCAACATCTTTGGTAACCTCAGACTTTGAAGTTTTGCTAGGTTAAGTAATAACTCAGTGGATGGCTAAATTTTTTCCGAATGAGATAAAATACTGAAACATTCATTACTAAACACAGCTTCATCTGCTTTTGGCTTCTTATTACAGAAAAACCAAAGACACTGCTTTCGGCTTTATGCTTAATTGAAAGTGTATTATGGAGAAGCATGTTTCTGGAAATTAGGAAACATATTCATAAACTTTTGATCTAAAGAATTCTGGTGTAATAGTCCATAGTCAGTCATGACATCGTTTTCACTGGAAACTAAGACTTCTAAGTAAATGTTCTGATAAACATAATTAAGACTGCCAGGAAATGATAAAGAAAGCAACTTTGTATACAAGGAAAGTAAGCTATGATTTTGATAAGAATGGCATGAGGAATGGGAATACATTTTTATGGAAAGGAAAGTAATTTTGTCCTAACATGAGACTGGTTATTTAGAGAGAGAACGCTTAGGACAAAATCTGAATGAAAAAGAAAGTTGTAGAGGTTTGTGAAGGGGAATCTTTGGAAAAGAATTTAATGTGTGGCCAGGACTGAGATTGAAATAAATGAATTTTTAAAAATATACTAGTATGAGAGTGGGATTTGGGTTTTTTTCTCTGTTAAAACGACTAAGTTCTCTTGGATTGTTGGTTTGCTCTTGATAAGAATTTTTTTTTTAAGATTTTATTTATTTATTTGACAGACAGAGATCATAAGCAGGCAGAGAGGCAGGCAGAGAGAGAGGGGGAAGCAGGCTCCCTGCTGAGCAGAGAGCCCGATGCGGGGCTCGATTCCAGGACCCTGGGATCATGACCTGAGCCAAAGGCAGAGGCTTTAACCCACTGAGCCACCCAGGCGCCCTTGATAAGAAATTGTAAGCCAAGTTTTCTTTATCTGCCTAGAAAACCAAAATTTCTATGTTGTCTTATCAGGTTGTTGATTCCTTAAAAAAGTTAAAACTTCTCCATATTGAAAGAGCTAAGTTTTACTAAGGCTGTGTAACCTTCTATACTTGCCTGTAGAATCTCTCTCTTACAGCCAACTTGGTTAAATAATTATATATTGAGTGTTATCATTATCTGAATCCTATTTAAGCATATTCTTTATAACCTTCTGAGGTTTTTAACAAACTCCCCAAGATTCAAATTCTAACTGGAGTGTTTTTGACTAACGAAGCTTGTTTATGTGGTCTGTTAAATTACATGGAATCCTGTTACATGGTGATAAGCCTGGGTATATTGGATGGGTAAATGCTATCACTGTTCTAGAAATTATATGAAATCCCTGAAATTTTTTTTTAAGATTTATTTATTTATTTATTTATTTGACACACAGAGAGAGAGAGATCACAAGTAGGCAGAGAGGCAGGCAGAGAGAGGAGGGAGCTGAGCCGAGAGCCCGATGCAGGGCTCAATCCCAGGACCCTGAGATCATGACCTGAGCTGAAGGCTGAGGTTTAATCCACTGAGCCACCCAGGCGCCCTGAAATCCCTGAAGTTTTAATAGGTCCTGATCTAAGGTCACTTGACATTCTAATTATTGAAATGCATGTCATAAAAGTAAGCGGACTTCTTGTCAACTGCATTATGATGAACTCTCATCAGATCTTTAACCATGAACTTTGTTGGACAAGATGCTCTTATAAACTATGTTTCATCTCCAAGGAGATGCATGAAAAAGAGTTTGACAAATACAGTTTTCTGATACCTTTAAGACGGTAAAGCTAATGGGTGCCTGGGTGGTTCAGTTGGTTGAGCGAATGCCTTCAGCTCTGGTCATGATCCTGGCATCCCAGGATGGAGTCCCCCATGGGGCTCCCTGCTCAGGCAGGGGGTCTCCTTCTCCCTCTGACCTTTCCCCTCTCATGCTCTCTCTCTCAAATAAATAACTAAAATTTTTCTTTAAAATATGGCAAAACTAAGCTGAGTAGAATTTTCAGAACTAAAGGAAAAACTGCATTCAACCAG